AGTAGGTACAGACATATTTAATTGCGAGGAAAGCTCCGTTAACAATAGCGAGTGCTTTCTAGTGACGTAACGAGAAGCTTCTCTTCGACTGGCACGTGCTCATTACACCGGCTACACTCGCGCCGGACGCTTGCAACTAGTCGAGGGAATATTCGTTACATTTCCTATACTTTCTTGCGAATTTTACTTTTTATAGATTTTACATTTAATTGGCAACATCTAGCATGAGTTTGTTGGTTGCTTAACGCCAGACAATTTTAAGAGAAGAACTATTATGTTTGACAATGACACAATACCACGAGGCACTATCCCTTCATAAAAATTAAAGCACAAAATAAAAAGATAGATAGTTAACTGCAAACTTGGTAAATTACACAAGTGTTAAGACAAAAGGAAATATATTCGACATGTATTCGTCTCATATCTGTATGATTACGAGGGTATAGTGAGTGGAGGCTAATCTTATTTGAGCAGAATTGCAAATACGATGAGATGTCACAAAACGCTTTATCTAGAAACATTAAACGTAAGCCTATAGAGGTGTCAGCTTAAGTTACTAATGCAACGTGTCTTACTTACGTGCATGATTAACAATATAAATTGTTGCAAGGTCGCCTGTCAAAGATTGAGGTCTTACATTTAATCGTGCTTTAGTTTTATTATCAGTCAAATGAAGTGGGAAGGTCACTGTCTTTTTTAACGCCTTAGCAATAAATTAGTTTGTAGAAACAAAATCAAACAAAGATGTTTAAGCCTGTTAATTAATTATTTAAGGTCACTTTTATCTACGTACTTGAAAATTGTGACTTAAAAACATTCAAAATGTCTCAATGATATAGGGGCGCCGAAAAACGTGTCAATGATATGTTTCACACTTTGACCTAATTTTATTATCTGTTTTACGACACATTTTCATTTTATTTTGTTAAATTTTTCCGTGTTATGGCAATACAATGGAAATAATGTAAATAAATATGTTTTCAAGTAGACTATATAAAATATTTAAAAAGTTAAGATCGTTTTGACATTAAAGTAAATATTGATAAATTGTATAATGTCAAGGCATTCTTTGTAACAAATGTTACATCATGAAGATAATTAGAAAAACAATTTAACCAGCGAAAGAATCCGCTAACGATGTGTACAGTTTACATTCATTACATCATTAATATACTCGTTTTGTATTGCGTAACTCAAACAATGGCCAGAATTCTTTCCCGACGTCCGCCATTTTCTAACTGTTTTGGCGCGCAATTATCGACGCGCCCTTCAGTCCAGTTGACAGCTAGTGACGGCGCAAAGCCGGCGCGGGCGCAGAGACGGCCTTAATCGCAACTCAATTGTGATACAAACAATAACGGAACACCAGTTCACAGACGATCATTTAAACTATGCAATTTTTGACGAATCGTCGACCAATAGTGGAATACAGCTAGAGCACACAAAAGTCAAAGCGATATCAACTCGTTTCAAATTCCATAAAAAAGATTTGTTCTTTCAAATCCGAAAAAAAATATAATGCCATTTTTAAGTAAAATTTTAGCTACCGCTGGCTGTAGAAGTGCTGCGCTATTTCCTCTTGTTTTAGTGGGTTCATCTGACAATGACTTTAGCTATAAAGTGTAGATCACAGAATACATAACATTATCGCTGTGTTGTGTGCTACCGACTTAATTAAGAACAGTTGTGAATGACGCTCCAATATTTTTAAATGCGAACTGTTTTTATTTCAACGTTACGCCATCTTGTCGTGCGACGTAACATTACTGAGGCATACCGTTTGCGAGCTTTTAATCGGTTTACTTGACGTTACAAAACGAAATACGATATAAAAATATAAACAAACGCAATATGTAACTTTATACGAGCATTTATGCTTGCAAATGTAAATGGATTCCATTGGAGATGTTTTCAACACTTAAGCAGTATCAGACATCGTCATTGCAACGTTATAAAATGCTTAATAAGTTGTTATGTATTTTTACATATTTGCTAGTTTTTTTTTTACTAATTTGCACTATTTGTAAATATACATTATTTGAAACTACAAACTCAAGAATACGTATAAGCAACAGAAAGATGACAACAACAACAAAATGTTTTTATTAACAAACTTAACTTCGACTTAATTCCCATTAAATCACAGATGTTGATAAAATAGGTTGTTCACGCGCGTACAGTGTAGGTATCCCACGGCACATTACGATGAGTTGACGCAACGCGCACGAACAACGCGACTTCTTCAAAAAAGTCTAGGGAGAATTTCAAACAATAATATCGAGATCTAAGAAATGTTACGTTGCATTACGCACACGCTCCGGTTACAAATCTGTTACATTTAGATAAATAAACTGATACTAATATTATTGTAATCTTACAAATTAAGTTCTCATATATTTCTCTCTATCTCTTAAAAAAAATAATGTCGCATCCAATTTCCTTCAAATGACGTCACTGTAAATTATGTTTTTTTCATAAATGAGTTAACACTGCGTGAAATTATTTAACGCGAACATTTTGATATCGTGATGCGCTTCACAATTTATTCACTTTCCAATAAGATCTCACCATGTCTACGCTATTTCCTATTAACTAATACTAATATTGTAAATGCGAATGTTTAGGTGAATGGATGTTTGAAGGTATATCTCCAGAACGCCTGCATGAATCTCGCTGAAATTCGGCATAGATATAGAACATAGTCTTGAAGAACACATGGGCTACAAGTTTTTATGTTCAATTCCGTGCGGACAGAGTCGCGGGCTACAGCCAGAAGATAAATATATTTTTGCTTTAACTTTAATGTAGATTTTAGATATTATATATTGGTTGGTAAAGTTTCGCAGACAAGCTTCTGTTTTTATTAACATTTAGTGTTGAAATTTTCGCTTAGAATGCACTGTACAGAATAAGGCACGAAAAGCAATTATCGCGTAGAAGAATTTACGATCGAAACGCAATCGAAAGGTGTATTGCGAAAAGTATTTGCAGATTTAATAAATCTTAGGTCTCAATAAATAGAGGCCAGTCTGCTTTAAGTTATTTGTAACAGAACACAAATGACTTGTCGCTTGACACAACAACGACAAGTCGAGCAAGAAAGGGTGGACCCGATATACACATAAATTGACTGAAAGGTTTGGTGTGTCACCGGCTTTATTAATAAATGCTGCGGCTCCTAATATTACGTTACGTTTTATCTATTTTAATAAGTTTTTAAAAATTGTATTTTTATTAAAACGTAACTAGCCACAAACAGTTTCATGAATGACCTTGTAAAAAGACGATGTCTCAGTTTTTATAATTTCACCGCATGGGGTATTCGGAGTTACTGGACACTATGAATAAAACTAATTTTACGGATGTTAATGCTTTTATATAATCGATTAAAATTTGCGAGTCTCTCAGCACTTTGTACCTTTTAATGCTGCAGGTGAGTTAGATATTTTAACATAAGATAGCTTCGCAAATACATGATGTTAATTTTTTTTTTAGAAGGAAGAAAACGAAAACGAAAAGATGTATGTAAAAGCGCATCCCTATTCTGCCACTGGCAACACTGGCCAGTTTTTATGTGTTAACTGAAGCGAAATAAATTACGCAAACAGAGTCCAGAGCAATTACCTCGAGGTGGTGAGCTTGCCTGACCACGCTTCCGCCAGGGTTCGATTGTTTTCTGACCGAATGCAAGAAACAATCGCCTATAATGACACCACGTTAAGGACCACTTTCGAATCAATATAAATGTTGAAACACGAGAAACTAGAACTGATAAAGTTAGTATTACGGTAACAAGCGCTGATATTTCATATTACCAGTTCACTTCCGACCGCCCATTGATCGTTGTACGATTCCATCGTGTTTATAATGTTTAATGAGTTACTTTCTGCGATGGCTGTAAAAGATTGCTTTTATTATTTAGTGGCACATTATTTTAGAAAGAAATTGTAACAAAGAAAACAGAGGGGAACGGAATGGATAGATAAAGGTATCGGTACCTACCCTAAGGGATGCAATGCAAATTTTCACGTTACTTCTTCAATCAGCCGTTGCTACTTAGTCTGCCACTGTTAAAGTATAAAAACTAACGTAAACCTTATTATCTCTGTTGGCAATAGTTTAAAGTAAATGATTTTGTTACTTTGCATATCTGAAATTAATTAAGGAAATAGAATCTTAACTTTATAAAAGCGATTAACACAGTTAACGTTTACAGTTTTGTTGGATAACTTATCTTGTATTTAACTTGCTTTCAAATATCGTTAATTGATGGATACGCTAAAAGAAAGTGCGATGTGGCCGAGGTGAACAGAATTACCTATAATTATAACTGCCGCTGAGACGTTAACCGAGATCTGTGGCGCAGTGTGAACAGGTGTATGCAGTGTACAGAGGGCAACACGAGTTGACACAACTACGGTAGTCTACCGTTCATTTTATCTTAAATATATTTTGATTAATTATCGGTACAATTTGCTTTAAATAATTATAACTACGTAAATCTATTTACGCAATGTGTCAAATTTTTTGCCGTATTTTTTATTTAAGTTGTATATTAAATTGCCGTCGCGTTTAAAAAAAATTTTTTTCGCAACTTATCCCTATGTTACCGTACAATTATTTAGCAAGTAAATTATTTCATATTTTTATGCAATAAAACTATTTTATTTAACAACAGAGCGGTATTTTATTAATTACAACTCGTTTGAGTTATTAAATGTTATGTGCTTAGATTTCTAGTCGAGCTTTAACGAAGATAATATCGAAGCTTACTGTATTTAACTTGTCCTCATTACTGTGTGACGACCTTATTTTTTTCTTACCGTACATATCGCAATACCACAATTCCTATAATTTTTACAATAACCACAAACTTTCTAACATTCACAAATCGACATTAAATGCATCACATCTAATCAAGAATCTAAGCAGATCAAAGAAATCGAATCGGATACAAATCGCATGCGCGAAACCGCAATAATAACAGTAACTTAGCTTACCTAGATGTCACCACTAGATTGTAAAACAAGACGAATGGATAAGCAACAAATGAAGTACACAAACACAGTCACAAGGGAACTTTATTAGTATTTCGCACGGTTTCTGTCACAGAGTCACTCGCGTCGTAATATCGAGATTCATGCCACAGGCAAGCGAACGCTCCGCTCTCTCGCGCCGTTATGCGCGCTGTGCACTCGGTCGCCGGCGAACGGCGCGCGCGCAGAACACATCCAGCACGACAAAGACGTTTAATATATCCAGATAGGTGTTTAGATAACATTTAAATTCAAATTAGATTACAATATTATATTGTAACAATATCATGTCTTAGCAATATCTGTGTAACCATTCAGAGCTTTTAATTTTTCTATAATTTTTTTCTGGTCTAAATATCTTGTTATACAAATTATGATATCTATTAATACTTAGCGACATATTCAACATGCATAATGTTTTCATAATTATATTAGCTAGTTAATTCTCAAAAGTGTACATCTGCGTTATTTGATCTTTGTTCGTGTAAGTTATCAATGAAGAGAGGGCGTTATCGCGAGGCTGTGCGGGGCCGCACGTCGCATCGCAAGCCTCCCGCACGGCACGCGGCTTGTGTACGGCGAGCGAAAGTGGCCGCGGCACCCACTGTAACGTAATCAACTAATTTGGCACTCATGGCTTTGGGGCATGCCATTTTGTACCAGAAGTAACGCCATAATATTTTTTTCAACGACTGTTTACTAAAAATTGATAATAAGAAATGTAACTTTTTGACAACACAATAAAATAAAAAATTCTTAAAACAAAAATACATAATACATACATATTGAATGGTGCTCATAAAATCAGAATCTGTTGAATGTGCTTCAATTCTGATATGCGTACTTATTTGTGCTGACTAAGTGAAATATTTGGTCAAATTTCTCTCGACGAATTCACGGCATTAGGATAAAGCGGTCAGTTCCGCTTGCTGGCATTCGGCTCACGTACTCCTGTCGACCCCACATAGCATACCGAGTGGGTGCTATAGCATCCTGCAGCACAGGTGACTGGGTCAGGCTCGGAGAAACCAAATGCAGATTTGTGCCGAGATTAGGAACCAAAGTGAATCCTCTTCACTTTCTTTACAACAATGTATTTAATTTGATTCTGTTTATTTCCTACTTTTATTCACCGGAACATCCTGTATATTTATAAAAATTATCATAAAGTAGAAGAAGAGATTTTATAAATGGTGATATAACTTAGGACAAAATTTTAAACATTTAAAATCAGTACTTACAGGTAGAAAAAAATTAAAACTTCTGATGATTTACGTTGTTTATTTTAAAACAGAATAATTTTAAAATGAAATAATGGAGCCTGAAGTAACGCTGCTTTCGTTTCGAACGACAACAAAGAAAATAATATTTTTATTGAGTCTATTGTTACAACGCTGACCATTCACAGACCGTGTTCGAAAATTAGAGTTAAAGGCTGCACCCTATTGGTTATTGTTTCCGCGTCGTAGTCTCAATGCGTACGAAACGTTTAAACGACTATAGCCCTAGAGGTGGAACACCGGGAAGTTCCGCGATTGTACTATGTATATTTTAAAGGCATTTTATTGTGCAATTCATAATTCCTGAATACCAAAGCAATTAACTTTATGATGGGGCCTAGACAAAGGCCAGATAATCTGCGTGTCCTAGCCATAGGACCCGAATCAAATTGTTTAGAGCCACTGGAATGCTTGACATCCAGAGGGAATGTCGCGTGCGCCGGCGCATTCCCAGTACCTAACTTGTAATCAGTGCTTAAGTTAATTTTCATACATTTATTATTTTTTGTTCTAAAATTCCTTTCCTCCCTATCTTATTATTACAATTTTAATAAATTATTCAGGTATAATAATAAATAAAAATAATTATTAAAGCTATATTCAAACCGCTATTTACAGTTTCAGAAGCGAGCAAAACTATTCTTCATTTTCTGGCGACGCATCAAATATGCCTCGGATTTGCGGATGTCCATGGTCGTCGCTGGCTTGGTGAACTGGTCGTTTCCGCCCTAATTGTATGGATAAAAAATATTTTATTCTTATTGAATAGTTTGAATGCTCCCACATAAGTGAGAGTTTAAATTTTCACTATTTCGGTATTGTTGCGTTCAAAGCTATGTGATTTTCAGAGGAGGTATTATCTTCTATCGGCAGGTTGTTATTGTATGTACTTACATCACCGCGTCATCTCGCGCGCTAATTGGGCGACGAATTTTTAAGATAACGACCTAATGTACATTAAATTCTTTTAGTTTTTCCCGGAGCCGTCGTCGGATGAGGCTATTAAAGTTTAGATTAGAGATCGCGGCGTTGTGACTGGGAAGTAACAACTATCGCTATTGCTGCTACTAGCTAGTCATAAGTGTTAATTTGTTTGTTAATCCTATACCACATTACATCAGTTTGGGTAATCGTTGTAATGATCTTGACATGTTGACATTATTCAGCATAATATATTTTCTTTTACATGGTTAATGTGTTTTAACTAAACTGCTATAAATTTACCTGGCATATTTAAAAAAAAATCTATATATCCCGCCTTTGTAAGTCTGTAGACAATAGATCTCAGCACTTACAAATATCTATTGGTTGCGGTTGCGCCAGAGCAAGAGATTTATTAAACGCGATTTTCCATTAGCCGCCGGTGCGGCGCGAGCACTAACCAATTTAAGTAGCCGATCACACGGAAAGATGTACTAACAGAACTCAAAGAGATGTAATAAAGGTGAGGCCACTTTTTTTTAAATTAAACGTATACAAAATTATAAAAATTATCAACTCACAATATAATCTTAAAACTTAGTCAGTTGTTACTCAAGTTAGTTTTTTTTTTATTTCCAGAATGTACATGCAATGCTTTTTCTGCCACAATAATTTTAATCGTCAATCAAATTTGCTGCTTTTACAAAACAAAAAAACAGAAGCTATTTTGTAAGAAGATAACGATCTATATCTTCTTGCTTAGTACAATTTTTAAAAAAGCAGCAAAAGAGTATTTGTAATTTGAAACAACAGTCTGCATGGTGCACTATACAGAACAACAAACATCAAATCGAACTGAACACAGCGTAAAGTTATCGTGAGCTAAATGCAACCGGCCGAAATTAATTGTGCAGCGGCAGGAGGGGACGGAGGGCGATATATCCTCTGTATCGATCATTTTGTGCAGTCTGTGGTGTTCGCAAGTCCGCACCAAAACAATATCCGCATTCCTGCTGTTTGCTATAATGGAAAAATTAAATCTATTTGTTTTATGCTTTCAAAGGGTTTGTTCACACTTCACACCTAAACAATCAATGAAAATTTTTTATTTTTATTACAGATTTTATATTTAGATATAATAATTTTGTAACACTACTTTAAAGTTTCTAAATTTGTAAACTGAAAAGTTAAAAACCTTTGTTTTGATAATTTAAAGGGTGAGTTCCACTACCACCTAAAAAGTTATCTTGGTATTAAATTTATATTGCATAATTAGCGATAATATTATAAAAATCGTTTTTTTTTATTTGTTGAAGTTCAAAGTTATTAGTTTTTTAATGAAAGTATAGTATGAAACGGAACGTTATGTCAAATCTGTCGTTGCGCTTTGACAAATTTGACAGCGACAAAGCCACAAGCAAGCCATCTCAAATTAGTAAATAAGAAATTTATTGTATTTTCTTTAAATAAGACTATATTTTGATTAAAATCCAAGGATTTAGTTGTACAATATAATTTAATTGTGTTTTAATAGAAGAAAATGGACGACGTTGAAAAATTAAGTTGTAGTGAGTGTTATTTATTTACGAAACATTGAATACATTTTACGAATTAATTCTTGTTTACTGTAAATATTTTTTTATGTTTAAGAAGAGGAAATAGTAGATCTGAGTGACATGGAGCATTCTGCTAACGACGAGTCGAAGGAATCTGAGGAGAAATCTAAAAAAAGAAAAAGGCGACGCCGTGAAATAGATATGGTGAGTGACAAACAGAATTAATTACATATAGAATTAAAATAGGACAGGTTTTTAGTATTTACCTAATAATCTGTGGGTACGCCACGCAAAACATTAACGGTTTAAACCTATGTAAGCTGAAATAATTCTTGTTTCACTACTTAAGTATAACACTAAGTACTAAGATATTACTATTGCAAAATTAAATTTTCCAGATAAAGTTATCAGATGATGATGAAACAGATGATGAAGTTTCTGGAAAGAAGATGATAAGAAGGTTAAGTCCAGTCCCCAATTCACCAGCCTCGCATAGAGAGCCTCGCACTTGTGTGTTAAAGGTAACATATTTTTTTTTTTTTAAGATTCCATTGATTTCACCAATAGACTTTAAACATTGACATGTTTGGTGGACTCTACAACCTTCAAATTTTTAATTGTCCACAGGCCAGTCAGAAGCGTCGTCCCCTATCCCGTCTGCTGGAGCAGCTGCTGCGGAACTTGGAAAAGCGAGACCCACACCAGTTCTTTGCATGGCCGGTTAATGACAACTTTGCCCCTGGATACTCCTCCATCATAAGGCGGCCTATGGACTTCTCTACTATTAAACAGAAGATAGATGACAATGAGTACAAGTCACTCAATTGTTTTATTGTAAGTTGTTGTTATATTTTAATTGCCATGTTTAAATAGAGTCAAACTTAGTTAGGGAAGAAACCTGTATAAGAAGTATCAAGTGACAATCTCCATAACTGGGAAACTTCGTCTAAAGACAAACTTCTATAAGCAATGAAAATATCATTATCTTTCGGACTGTGTATATATAACAATCATATTTCTATAATAATTCTTTAGTTTGGTATTCAAATCTATTTGAGCACCCAATAATATAAACAATGCATAACTTGCAGAGTGACTTCAAGTTGATGTGCAACAATGCAATGAAGTACAACAAGCCGGGCACGGTGTACCACAAGGCGGCGCGCCGGCTGCTGCACGCCGGCCTCAAGCAGCTCACGCCCCACAAGCTGCGCCCGCTCGGTGACATCCTCACCTACATGTACGAGATACCCATCCGAGAACTCGGCTTTGACATCGGGAAAATGGATGTTGTGAGTATTTTACTGCCAACTATTTTCTCATAACTTCATCTAATTAATGTGTATTAGTGAAGTTAGGTATTGTCAGGTCAGATAATTATCGTATTCACGTACATTTACGTTATTTTTAAATGTATGGTGTCTCTCATACATACATACAAATTCATACAATGCAATGAAATTAAGTAATAACAATAATTGGTTAAATTCTCACATATCTAGTTTATTAATTGATTTGTCTTTTATCTGATAAATGTCAAAGTATATTCAATAAGAAATAATACTTATTATTAACTAAGCGGTGAATTTCTAAAGCTTGAAAAGTATTTAGTAACGGTAACATGGTTATTGTAAGTTTATAGACTGACAAGGCTGTCACAACTATTGGGAATAAGTCAAAATAAATTGTATTATAATAAGATAATCTTTGTATTTTAGTTGTCGTATCATTTTATGCCATTTTCTATGTATAAGTAGGTTTTATTTGCAGCGGGTCTTGCTGGTTTAAATATCCTTGTTAATCCTTGATTTTTCTGTTCCCCTATGTTAAATAAGATTTTTTAGACTTAGTTATCGATATTGGGTAAATTGGGTGTGAGATTGTGTTGACGAGTTGTCGTTTTTGCAATGCAGCCTCTTAGGACATACGGCCGAAAGGTTTGCAATGATGATTTATTAAGTAGTGACATGCACTTAGCAGTTAGTCAGTTTGTTTGCTTGTGTCGGTGCGCGTGTGTTCTTTGTGCCGGCCCGCGCCCCGCCCTCACACCGCACACACACCGCCCCACTATACCATGCATGAACATACGTGTCATTTTGTGTATTTTGCATTTCAATATAAGTTTTTTTTTCATAATCAGACAATGTTGTTACGATCAAACAGTGTTAAAAGTTTCCTTTTATTTTTCTGTTTTACCCGATTATGTTTACCTTTATATTTAACCTTTACAAATATAATATTGTGTGCGGGTAACGTTATGGCGAGCTGTGTGTGTGCGTGCGGGGCGGCATGTCGGGTGCTGCATGCATAGAGGCGGTCCTGGCGACCATTGTCCGCGTCCACTGCCCTCACTCCACAATAGGTCAATGTTGCATGAACTTTTCGGTCGGATTTGACTGCTATGTCCCACGCGCCACGCGTCCCAAACGGATATAGACTCTGTGCTAGTATTAATAAAGATTAATTTCGATAGACGTTACGTACGTCACGCAGCGAGCTTGCACCCGGCTTGCGTGCTTGTTCGAAATCGGTGTCTGTGAGATTCATAGTCTCTTATTACGATTCCATTATTTGCTTTATTACGTTTGAATTATGACAATTTCACAACAGTGGAATGATGCGACACTGTCACATTGCGGTAATATTTGCGTTTATCGTATTAGCACAAGGTGCTGAAGCGGAGCAGCCCCATCAAGAGCGGCGGGTCGGAGGCGGAGGTGGTGTCCGACGGCGGGCTGGACCGACCCGACGTCGACAGCGGCGACTGCGGGGACAGCCTGAAGATACAGATGGAGGCGGCCAGGGAGCAGCACCGCAAGCGACTCGCTAAGAAAGGTCTCCCCACACTCACCTACACACAGTTCTAATAAAACCATTCGCTGACACCTCGACAAGATATCTATTAATATTTCTTTTATATTTTACAGCATTTCCGCGCATGGACGGCGAGGGTAAGACGACGCTGTGCCTGGTGACGAGCACTGTGGAAGGCGGCGGGGGAGGTGGCGGCGGGGAGGAGCGGCCGCTCACACTGGCCCGGTACATCGGCAAGCTGACACAGGGCACCGGCACACTGCACAGTATGTACACACTGACACACATGTTGTGTGTGTGTGCGCACTGCTGTAACAACGTCACTCTGACATGTGTGTGTGTGTGTGTGTGTGTGTGCAGCTCCCCGCGAGGACCGGCGCAACCTCGCCAAGTGCGTGAAGCCGCTCAACTACGGCCCCTTCGGATCATACGCGCCCTCATACGACGGCACATTCGCCACACTCACCAAGGACGAGACGCACCTCGTCTACCACACGCTGCGTGAGTTCATCGCTTGATAAACGCACAGTTTCTATAAAATGAGAGTCTGTAAAGTAATCGACATGATGCAACATATGTCAGCGTACGAGATGGGTCAAGGCAACGAGGAGCTGCTGCGGTTCGCGCCGGACTCGCCGTGGGCCGCCATCTATGACATGGAGGCCATGTTCCCCGACCGCAAGGTGCTGCCCGACCCCGCCCCCGCCCCCGCCTCCGCCCCCGCACCTGACGACAACGTAAGTACTCCCTCGAGCCGGATATCAAATATATCAACTTTTTGACAATATTTCCGATGAAAAGTCACATTACATAAGTAGTCTGTTAATATACTAGTCGCCATTGTACTTTCGTTGTTCAATTTTCTCGAGCTAGTAAAAATCGTTTCGGTGATAAAGATATGGTGTCTTCCGGCAGGATCTGTCGAAGGTGAAGGTGGACGTGGAGGAGCTGCGCAGCCTGGCGGCGCTGGGCATCGACGTGGACTTCCTCGCGGACATAGAGGAGGAGCTGGCGGCCGCGCAGCACGACTACGGCATCTCCGCCGCGCTCCGACACACGCACCACCTCATAGTGAAGCTGGAGAAGGAGCAGCGGGAGAGGTACGTCCGGGGTTGATGAGAGTGCACGTGTGTATGTATGTATGTATGTATGTGTGTGTATGTGTGCGTGTCAGACTGTCGCAGCCGCCGCCGTGGCACCTGTCGCTGTGCGCGCGTGCGGGCGCGGGCGAGCGTGCGGCTGCGCGTGCGCTGGCGGGCTGGCTGCGCGGCATGGTGGCGCGCGTGCCGCCCCGACACGTCGCGCCCACACTCGCCATCCGCAGGGCGCTCGGCGTCACACTCGAACATCTCGGTACTGCTCTATACATCTACATCACATCTACATCACATCTACATCACATCTACATCACATCTACATCATTAAAATAACTAAAGCCGTGGCGCTAGCGTCAACAGTGGCTCGCCATCTGTCAAATTTCTTTTACGAAAATTAAATCATTTTAAAAATACATAAAAACCTACGACTTTTTTAATTTTTTCTTTTTAATAATTTGTGTACTATCATAAATAAATTTGACTGGAGTCGTTGCTATGACAACAGACCACAGAGTTGCACTATGTATATGAAATAGTGTTTTTTGTATATCTGTGGTATATTTTGAGCAATAGACAATTTTTCTCACAATTGCATGTGAACGTCAAGTGATATTTCACATGAGAATATAAATATGCAGTTGAATTTATACAGTATTTGATGTGTGCAGACACGCCGCTGGCTGTGGACGACTTCGAGCTGGAGGTGGCGGAGGGACGGGAGGGACGCGACACCTCCGACCCGGAGTCGCGGCACTCCGCCTCCAGCCAGTAGATATATACATAGACAATATATACTTCAATGTTATACCTTTGTTTTATTTATTATTTGAAAAAAAAACCTAATAAATCTAATTGAATAATTTGTACCGCCCTTATACTTTATATAAAGATACGTAAATTTGCGACAATCGCTGTCGTATCCTCAACCACAATTATGTCGGAAATAAGTGTTGCCCGCGACTCCGTCCGCGCCGAATCCAAAAATAACTTAATATTAGCCTGTTCTAAAGTAAGTTCTACATGTATACCAACTAACAAACATCCATCTATCTAAACATTCGCATTTATAATATTATTAAGATTACTGGTGCACGTGACGCCCGATGGCGGCGCTGCTCAAATTTTAATACAAATTTTGTCGACGATGCAACACTGAAGGTAAAATTTAAATGCATGCAATAAACTCTTCTCTTACGATTAATTTTTGAAAATTCGATTAGCACTTTTACAAAATGAAGCAAATTAGCACTGGCTATTTTTTTGGAAAGATATACATCTTCAGACTGTGTCTGCGCAGTGCTGGACATAGGCATTACGTATTTAATATATATTCGCTTTTAATATTAAGCGAACCACCCAACTAACCATCTTCAATGCAAAAAATAATTGGTCGTTGTGAGTAGAGTCAAGTGATGAATGAATTATCGAGTACAAAGCGTGCAGTAGTTGAGGGGGCGCGTGTGAGGTGTGCGGCGCGCGCGGTCACACGCGCTGCGCACGCGCCGCACCGCACCGCGCCGCACCGCGCCGCACCGCACCGCGCCGCACCGCGCCGCACCGCACCGCGCCGCACCGCACCGCTCGCTTGTGCGCGCAACAACTCGCCTATCGCTTTACATTGCGCGGTTCCTGTTCCGCTTTGAGTATTGAAGGTCATGCTGAAATCGAAAATAAAGTAAAATATTCCCTTTTCAAAATGATAGCTTAATTAATAAAAGTTATATTGTTTATTATATGCTTTTTTGTTTGATTCATGTATTATTAAAAAAAAAATGAAAAAAATACTAATAATCACTAATAAAAAGGTTTATCTATGAAGCTGGACAAATACGTGAAAAAGCAGTCCTTAGTATGACATTTAACTGTTTAGTAACGTCACAAAGATCACGAAGTGTTTTCCTTAGCGATTAACATCAACCACAGATAATCTACCAGCATTGACAACCTCCCCTGCACTGAACTGTACAATGGAAACGAAATAAATTCTCACAGAGATCAAACAAAGCGGCAATCGGAGATAGAGTAACTGTACAGCTTATGTGATACCCCTAGCGGCAGTGGCCACCCCCTCGCACACCCTCGCACCCCCGACATTCACACGGGAACTTACTCTACCAATACCAACATAGTAGCCATGACTTATCATTTTAAACCCTAACGTCTAAACAATAATACCTTTTATTGAACAGAAAATTTCTATCAATATTGTACAATACTGTACACTTATTGTTTTTTTTTAACAATAGTTCAGTTTAATGGTATTGACTGATAGCCTCGTGAATATTGAACTTTAAAATGCGGTATCCTTTGTAATTTGTGTAACAAATATTGAACAATGATTTGAAGTCGAATATTTGATACGCCACGGACTCAAATAATAAATACTATAAAAAGTATTAATAGCTAAAAGCCATAAGCATTTATTTTTTATACTCAACTACAAAATCAAAAGCTCTAAGCGCAATTTATGTACTCGTATTCTCACTAACAATATCACACATCTAATTTGTAGCATTTCAAAGCGCATATTGCTTAAAAAAATCCATGTTCTTTTTATAAAAGAAGGGGGAAAACGAACAGCGGGAACACCAACATGCTCATCGACACCCATGGACATCTGAAATACCCAGAGGAACTGCAGATGCGTTGCCAACCTTTGAGATGGTGATATGTGTTATGTTATTTTCGTTTTAATTTTGATTTACATAGTAAGCTACACTTTTCACTGAGTTGACCTTATTTAAATTACAAGCTACGCAATTTATTTCCCAAAATAACTAATTGTTTATCCATGTGCAAATAATATTCAAGTTCCCAAAACTCTGTGTATAAAAGCCTTCGCTTTGTGACGTAGAGGTAAATATAGATTTGTTTGAGATGTTATTACAAGCAACCTTCGAGCTTCGGCAGAATAATCCACCGCGATCTGTTGTACAAACAAACCGACAAACATTGAGCTAAAATAAACATAGGGGCTAATATAAATCTTGTATTCGGAATAATAAATTTCCAATTTCTTGTATGAAGTGATCACATGTTTGGATAAATACGGATTTATTTCGTTATGTTTTCATTTAAATTATTTATCGCTAAACTCTCACAAAATAAAAGCGATTAACACACTGTCCCAAAACTAAACCTGACACCCATTAAATAAACATCAAAATATTGCTATATATAGATAGGATTTCGAAGACTTTCTTCGTAATCTTGAAGAATGGAGAAATTATTGATAAAAATTGAATTTATTGAAATAATTTATATATGTTTATTTTAGTCTCGATGTTTGATGTCCTGTTTTAAATGTTAAACCGTTGCCTCACTATTAACCGCATTGGCTATATATTTCGTATTTGTAAGACATTTCGCAAAGCAAACAATAAGTAGTCGCCGGCGGCTACAGTATGTATCTCAACATCAACACCTGTCAGAAAGTCCCACACCCTGCCTCCGCCCACAAAAAACGGGTTAAATCAAAAAACCTCCGACTTTGTTAAAGGTCTCGAGTGTTCGCTGAGAATTATTTCACTTGTTGCTTTTGTTGGAAAACGTTACCTGAAGAGGCTATTGTTGTACTTGTAGGCTTGGTTAATTTGATATCGCTGCCTTACCGACATCATAAAAGTTTAAACCTTACATAGATTTACTATTTAGGTGTAATAAACGTCTATAGTTTAGAGGTACATGCTGTTGCTCTTATCGTGAGTTTCTGACACCAAAATCTATTTGAAATATATTGTTATGTTTCTTTTTGTCAAAGATATGACGATATGTTTTATACAGAGATTTTAGTCTCTGAAGCCGTCGGTTAAATTCGTTACAATAATTATAATTATATTTCTTCTATCGGGCATGTAACAATATACGCTTGTAACTCTGAAGCATCTGTTTCCAAAAATTTATCGTATAAATGCAAATTAAATGTAGCAAAAAGTAATCATGTAAAAAAAGTTTAAAACTCTCGTCCGCAGAGCGCAAACAAAGGTAAAAGAAGATTACATATGGTGTTAGGATTTGAGCTTCGTACAAATCTGATTGGATTTAAAATCTTTGAAGTGTTCGCGACTTTGTTACCTTTAACTTTAATCTACTTATAATTTTTTGTTACGTATTTTAAAAAGTGCAAGTTCAGGTAAGCTAACCTTCTTTTCTGTTGCGCGATGATCTCAAAAAACTCAGCATTAACGTAATAAATCTAAACCGAGAAATGGACTGAACGATAGAACGATATAAATATTTTTAAATTTAACTCTTAAAAAGAATTAATAAGGCCTTTGTAAAAACCAAGCAATAAAATCTTGTCTATGATTAATGCGCGAGAGCCACTCTTGCATTTTTTTAATATCATGGACCCTAGTTTAATAAAAACGGTTTAGCAGTAATGAAACAAAATGAAGCACACCATCTAGACATGAGATCTACTTGATAACTCGATGTAACATTTAATAAACATCAAAGGATGAATACCTTAACTGACAAGTGGAATGCGAAATATTATAGAAACTTTACAATACACTAAAATTTAATTACATTTTTGATTTTATTTTCAGACAGTTAAAAAGCTCTACTTATTTATAGATTGCCTATATACTATGAAATTAATAACACGCAGTAAATAAGAGGGAAAATGGTCGCACGTGTCTCAATGTGTCTCCGGCGTCCTCCCCCGCAGCAGAAACTTTCACACCAATTGTTAGCCGAATGAAATTGCATTTCCTAATTGCCGGCCCGCTTCCCACCGCGCGACCGACACGCGGCTCTCTGATTCATACATAAACTTACATACACACAAAACTGGGCTCTATCACAAGACAAAAGAGTATATTATATATCGTTAACTTAGTTTAATAATTTACGCAAAATGAAAGTGCATTTTGCAGCTTTTATATTCTGCTTTCGAACTTCTAAACGTAGCTGAATAGAGTCGAAATTTCGAATATGCATCAATGTGTAAAATTTAGTCGGGGTTTCCTTGCAAAATTTTATGTCACCACCAGTATGCTTTATTGCGCAGACATAAGATTGCATATAGCTTGGTTAGATGCAAATATAAAAGTGGTTTCTCAATAAAGCTTGTGTATGGGCGGGCGGCGGCAGCGCACGGAGTCCACGCGGCCGGCGCGCGCTCACTCCGCGCCCGGCGGCCGACGCGTGCGCACGTGTCGTCAGCAACAGCGACGCACGCGCAACACTTGCCCTAATTACGTTTACATGTTGTACTTGATCTTGATATTGATAAGAGACAAATAATTTAGGTCAAGACGTTTAGTGATTATCGGTAAAGATCTACTATATGTACGAACAAAACTGAAAGAACGTTAGAGTGCTTTCGTTTTCAGTGCAAACTTTGTGAAAAGTGTCTGAAAAACATCTGGTTGAGAAAAACGATTGAATAGAGGAATAATGGAGTACCATCACCGTCCAATGGAGCAGCAGCAGCAGCAGGGAACGGGAGGTGGCGCAGGACCGCCGGCGCAGCCTCAGTGGGGCTACGGCTGGGCGCCGCCCGCGCCCGCGCCGCGCTCTAAGCGTCCGCACTCCGATAGCGAGGACGACGCCTTCTCCGAGGAGAGCAGCAAGGATGCACAGTGAGTGTCACTTGTTCAACAAATGTATTCTCATATGGATATCATCAAAATCTCATAATTCACCTTATATAATGTAATAACATTTGATAACCTAATATTATATGAACAGGCTCCATCGCTTGTCAACAACGTAAAGCGAGATTCTTATTAGATTCTTATCAGATAGCTCATGGAAAAAGCGGTAAGACAATTGTAGCGTGTCCGCTGCTACACGCGTAGCACTTACTACGAAGAAGCTTCGTGTATTCAATACGATTCAATATATTTGCGGCGTTATTTTTATAGCTTTTAATTTAATGCTTAACCAAATAAATGTGTTCGTTATCGGGAGATATTAATGAAGATTAAAATTTCCTTTTACTTAATTTAAATATGTATACACTGAAACTCTATCAAAAGTATCGCAAAAGCAATAGTGATAAAATATATTTTGTAGAACAACTGAAAAAGAAACATTTACATTATTACAAGTATAGAAAAATTGTACGACATTACTTATGTATATGTTATCGCTTTCTATTATTTGAATTCATAGAATTACTTTCTCGGATCCATTTAACTTTTCCAATTTGTTTATGTCGACAAATGGAAAAGTCTAATTCCTTTTAAGTTGGTTCATTTTTCTGTCAGCTTTGCTTATTTCTTATTCAAGACAAGTATTTACGAGCAGCCAACTGTACACTGTTTGATAAAAGATCGTTTTAGAAGTAGTGATTTTTCCAAATACAATTTTCACACACCCATATAACATATTATGTTCCAATATTCAACATTTTTTATCAACCTTCTCTATTTCTCAATTATATAAATCAACGTGTAAAATTGCAAATGGCATATTATAAACTATTTGCAAATTATGAACCGAACGAATCAGACGTTATCTCCACATTTTATTAATCAAATCAAAGGAAGGCTTGTAAAAGTTCACCATTGACCTTAAACATAAATTCTTATGAGTATTAAGTGTATAGTTACAAAGTGCGATGTGCTCAGGTCACCTGGCGGTGAGTCGTGCCAGCTGATGACGCGCAAGCGACGGCGCGGTGTCATCGAGAAGAAACGACGCGATCGCATCAACACCTCACTGACAGAGCTGAAGCGGCTCGTGCCCGCCGCCTGCGAGAAACAAGGCAGTGCAAAGCTGGAAAAGGCGGAGATACTGCAGCTCACAGTCGACCATCTCAAGATGCTGCACGCCAAAGGTAACCACTACATCTATTATATAGCTATACATTATGAAAGTTAAATGGAAAACAACAATGGTTATAAATTATGTCAAGTTAATTATCATCCACAGAAAAGACTTAAACGTTCTAGGTTAATCCCAATCTTTCGTTTAGCAATCTTACTTTTTTTTTTTTTTTATATCATAAGGTGGCAAACGAGCGAGCGGCCACCTAAAATCGCTGAAATAGCGAAGTGACCGTTGCCCATAGACATACGCAATTGCATATGCGTTGCCTACCTTTAATCGACGGAGCAGAGGATGCACAGAAAAAAAATATCTTCTCTTTCCATGCATCCTCTCATCCGGAAAGTCCACTTCCACTTCCCATCCTTTCCTTATAAGAAAAGGGAGGGAAGGGAAAGAGGACTAAATTAGGCCTCCGGGACGCACACTCATCAGACGAAACGCGGAATTGCTTCCACTTCACGCCTGTCTTCTGTGTGGTGGTGGTATTTCACCGGACGAACCTGGCCAATTCGTGCGAAGATGTTAAAGCGGGTTCTACCACTCTTAAAACATATTCAACTTTTAATGTTTGATTATGTTCTCCAAATATAAACGTTTAAGTAAAACACGAGTATGTCTGACGAGACGGCCGTCGTGAAGTCACGTTTGTATCTCGGATGTTGTGCGGTCGAGCAGATCTAACCTTGATAAACTATGTTAAAGTGTTAAATACTCTAAAACACGCTCAAGCTTTACCATAAAGTTGTTAAGTGTGTTAAATCATGGACAAATTACAAACTTTGCTTGTTACGTCGGACAATTTAAACCTATCTGTTATTACACCAGCATTATGACATGTGTCTTGTCTTTTTCTTATTTCTTTCGTATATGCGAGGGATCTGCTCCAGCGAGATAACAGCATAGTTTCCGCCATGCTGGGACACCAATCAAACTGCAAAGTGTTTCCGCTTCCTACGAATTAACAAAAGAGCACCGTAACGTAACGGTTGCGATACAAACCTCAAATTAAATTTGTGAACAAATGTGCTACGAGTAAAAAGGCCTTTCCTGTCCTTTAGAAATTATCTTTTAACCGCAATACGATAAATGTCTACATGTAAAACCATTGAATTAATTGTTAAGTATAATAACTCATGTTTAAGTTATTACTTTATTACGTTTATTTTTATTATTATAAAAATACAATATGTATTATATTTTACATTATGTCCGGAATAGTAATATTTTATTCATACCATAATACTGTCATTGTCCGGAAATATTGTCATTTGAAACTTTTAATTGGCAGAGCGCGGAAACGTTTTGCGGTTGACTTATATTTGTGGTTTTGTTTGCCGGACATGAGCGGGTGAAGCTTTCAAGTGAAGCTTTTATAAAGGTCACTATAGTTAGGAGACTATTAAGTGCTTAGTAAAGAGTTAGCTTTTTAACAAATAACACAGATAAGTGCTCACGTGTATAAAAATCAAAGCTCCGTGAGAAAATGCCATATAATATTGGTTAAACTTAGAGCTTCATAATATAAAGCTCAAAATGTTTAATTTCATAAATATTGAAGTATTATTTTTTAACAAAAGCTTTAGTTCATTTCGCACAGTTCCCATTAAGAAGTCGTTTCTTTTTACTTGTATGGCTACACTAAAAGTATAGTGAATAAATAATGCTAATGTCAAGGAGTGTTACATGTTATTGTTTCTATTATAAAATGCAAAAAATATCAACTAGAAAATATTTGCGATTTATTGTTACAGTATGTACAACGGCTATGTACTTGCAGTCGTGTTACCGGACGGTCCGGGTTCATGTAACACCAATGTGAAAATATAAATGTTAGTCAATTAAAAAACCATGGATAAAATGAATTCAAGTTAGACATAAAGCGCGGCTAAATCGTTCCTTCCGACCGCAACCGCATCTGTTCGATCCCCGGAAATACACAATAAAACGTAACTTACATGCGCCTAAATCAAAAATGATGAGTCCGAAGGTCCAGGTAGAGGCTGACACCTGGCGCCCTCCGAGGACACAAAAACTCGGACAAACAGGAAGTGATCATGACACACCACAATCGCCCATTACCCACGGCTATTTGATACACTTGCTATCCTCTTTGTTAGTATAGCTATTGAAAGGGACAACGTCTACGGCTAAGCCTATTAAATTTCGTTTATTTATATATTATGATACCAGTAAGGATATTAGTTTTTACAATGTAATGGAGACAATCGCCGTGTATATGTTGATTTGAAAGCAATAGGAAATATATACCAATTTTACGTATAATTCTGACATGTAATATGTAAATAGCTCCTTAATTAAGTCAATTTCATGTATTATAACATGTTTTATTCACCCTCAATATAAATATGCGAAATTTTATATCCTCATAAAATGCCACAAAATCTACGATACATTTGATAGAGTGCATGTAATCAACATAATCACATTATCGTACAATATGCGCTCATGTCGGCAGGGGTGTCGCGTGGGAACCTTCGCGCGGACCACGTCCCACTCGTCCGCAGCACCCCTGCCACAGGGATGTCTGCCGACCTACTTTATACAGCTAAGCGCGCTGTTTCGCATATTAATGCGTTCACTTCATTATAGTTGTAGTTACAAAGCTATAATAATATTTCTAAGATGAAGTAGAGCCTCCTATTTACTATTGATTTAAAATCAGTTTTTAACATAATTTATTCTATTTAGTAGAATTTTCGTGAAATCTTCTGTAAAAAAAATAAATCAGACAGACGACAAATTGTAAAAAGAAGTTCCAAAAGAAGTATAATCTTTATGCGATTCGTCCGCTCACGTGTACTCGCATTGTGCGGCGCGCGCACTGACAGGCGGAAGCGAGCGCGGGACAATGCTAATGAGCAAGGGTTGCCACCTGCGGGAGAAAAAACGAGCACCCGACAACTGCTCGCGCAGACAGGGCAACGTAGGGGAATTACAATTGTACTAGATATTTAAGTTCCGGCTTTTTACCTCAAGTTCCTTTAATTACTGAAAGCAACAGAAAATACTGAACACGGTTTCAGTCTTATAGTCTTTTGGTGCAGTTTGCATAAACTAATTTGTTTCACAATTGTCTTTGAATAAGGGTGTTTAATCAGAAAGTTATTTGTGCCGTTTAAATCTTATGCAAATTGTAAATTTTGATAGTTATTACTACTATGAAACATATTATATAGCGACGTAGGTAATGCACTTCAGTCTCTTTAGGTGTTTTATTTTCTTTAAAAAGAAAAGCAAGCAGTTAAGCAGACTGGTGTCCCGGTGGCCCAGTGACTCGTCTGATGCGACCCTTGCGCGCCCAGCGCTGCGCCCGCCACGGAACTTCCCATTCAAAACGGCGTCCCTACGGAAGATGTCCGGATGCGCGCCGTTATGCCACCTCCCGTCTCGCTCGCACCTTCACTAATCACCACAGTCCCTCCTCGTCTTTAACTTGTTGCGTAAGAGGGTAGCTTTGAAGGGTCGTAGTCAATGGAATTGTTTTTTTCCTATGCATATTGAATTACTTCATCGCGTACTTATGAGTCAATAACACGGTAAAGGAAGATTCAATGCGGGACTATATTTGTCCTTTTGTCATGTTAATTTGCTTCTCTCTCAACTTAGCCTGACTTGATATTCTCGAACTTTCGATGTTATGTAAGTTCAAAACCTAATCGATATGAAGATTGAAGACTTTTAAGGTTTCTGCAGCTTATTAATAAACTTTATAAGTCCTTACTCGTCTACCAAATAAACGTGATCATATATTGAAATCGACAAATCAGTTTTATCTGCGTAAGTAAACATCATTAAGCGGAATCTGTTTACTTTCAGGTGTGGACACGTTAGCATACGACCCGCAGCGGTATGCGATGGACTACCACAGCATCGGGTTCCGCGAGTGCGCGGCAGAAGTGGCGCGCTACCTGGTCAGCTGCGAGGGACTCGATATACAGGACCCGCTGCGTCTGCGCCTAATGAGCCACTTGCAGTGCTTCGCCGCGCAGCGCGAGCTCGCCGCCAAGTCTGCCAACTGGGGCTACCCGCAGTACCCCGCCGCGCCCGCGCCTCACTCGCACCATGGCTACGGCGACGTGGCCGGCCAGCGGCACGACCCCTCCGCTTCCGCAGGCGCGACTTCGCTGGCCGCAACGACAAGTATTGCAGCGCCATTGTCCGCGCCGCCCGCCTATGCGCACTACGCGCACGCGCCGCCCGGTCCGCCGCCACCCGCGCCACCTGCGCCTCCCGGCCCGCACCCCGCACCCCCCGCACCACACTACCCCACACCCTACCCGCATCACCCGCCTCATCACCAGTACTCGCAGAATACCTCTAAACCCTACAGACCCTGGGGCGCAGAGCTGGCGTATTAGGTAGTAACTCGTGATAAATAGATTTTAAGTTGAATGGTTCTTTTAAACATGACGACCTTAGTTTTAATTACGCTAAAGTCACAAATTAAATAGTGTAAATAAATCAAATCACATTAATAAAGTTGAAAGAACCATTGGACATTGTTGTGTTCGATCTCAGATTTTAATAATAAAAGTCCAAATTACAATTATTTAAAGACTGTTGATCGTCAATAAATTTAATTAAAAGTAAATTATCAAATAGTTTGTGTGATAAAGATATAGTATATTGTATAAGTTTATGGAAATTAAGTTTACTTAGTCATTTTTATATGGGACCAAAATAAAACCAAGAGCTTTAATAGAATATAATACTAACACTACTAACGTAGCAAAAATCTTATTATAAATACGACAAATATTTTGTATTACTTCTTCTATCAGCACGTCCAGCATTTCTTTGTAAAATTATATTATTATTTTGTAAGATTAAGTGTTTATTAATCCATTTCGATTGAAACTATATAAGTGCATATACCAAAATTATATATGTTTTGTATTTTGTGTTCTATCTAATTCAGTTCGCAAATCATTGAAAAATGAACTAAAAGTAATTAAATATGACATTTTATAGCTCAGGCATAATTTTGCTGTAACAAAGAAAATTAATAAATATAATATTTGTTCGTGTTGATTGTCACTTTAGTGTAAGCAAGCCTTATTAGGGTTGTGAAAAAAGATATTAAAACAATTGTTGTGTGTGATTTGTAATAACATATCGATACTTTATAAAAGCTTAGTGAAGTTGTTTCTATGACTTTGTAAATATTTGTAAATACAAATTTCATGAGAGTTGACTGAGAAAAATGAAAATTAAATTATTTTATTTTTTACTCTGCCTTTCATTTTGCGAATCGAACAAATATTCTTCTGTTGAAATCTATTTGAATGTAAATCTAATAACAATTTATTGGAATCGGTTTTGTATTGGTTTATTTACATGAGTAAATATCAATTTCTTGAAACAGCTCAACTTTATTTGAATAACTACATCAATTTAAATACATAGTAACTGCGGCAATGAACTTAGTTATAAATCTTTTCATTTTCATGTATTTGCAGATTAAAAATGTATATTCATTTATTAAGATGAGTACGATAAATATATGTTTGGTTTGCTTTGAAATAAAAAAAATAGTGTCGAGTTTAATAACAACTATGGTCATGTCGGGACGCCATATTTAAAAAACTTCGGTTATCTAGTGACGTCAGCGTTCCATTGGAAGCCTCAGATAGAGAATGGACGTTGATTTTCAATTTTGTTAATTGCTTTGTTCAGTGATGCATCGCATCGCTCACATGTTACACCTATAGCTTTATAGAATTTCATTTAAGTTCAAATTCGACTATTTTTTTTGTAGCTATCATGTAGAAAGAATGCAATTTTTAGGATGTTTTTCATCTCGGAACTACTAGAAATTGTATTAAAAAATGATTTTAAAACAAGTCAAGGTTTTTTTCAGTTTTTATACAATCATCAAAATGTATTATTTTAATTTTATACATCACGTACGCACAGTAATATATGCTATCACAGAGTTCAGGTTTACCACCACATTAATTCTATTAACGGTCGCTTTTTAATTAACTAGCGAACTTCAACAGAACTCGAAGTGCGATTAACATCGGCACAGGTGTCACGTGAATACAACTCTAATCGACTTTTACGTATCTGTCCGTTTTCATAAATATTAAAAATATATTTATTACTATGATACCTAACAATGTAATCCTGCAATCCTGGAACTGACTGACAATTTTTTTTCTCATCAAATTTTCTTCTGCTGTCCCGAATAGAGTTCAAGAAAATCATCTATATGATTGATAAGGCATTTTCCAATACAATATTAAATTTATAATTATAATTTTACTGATAACAAAACTAATATTTTAAATTGTAATCCAAAATGACTCGTAGCCGGTGTGGTCACCCTGGCAGCCAGATGTCCGACGTATTTACAGAGACCCCGAAGTGAATAAATATGAGCGCGGTCGCACTCCGCTGATGCTATGGGATATCGCAACCCCTGCGATTCCCACACGCGTCTCGCTCGCACCCCCGCCCTGTCCATACACCCGTCCCACTCTGCACTTCCGTAGGAAGCCCGGGGTGCAAAAACAATGTTTTTTCAAAGTTCGTGTGCGCGCCGTGTGGCGGCATTCGGATACTGTATGGAGTGCGCGATGTTTTTGTCACAACTCCAGTTCAAGTTCCGGGTCGTACAGGTAGCTAGGTTCAAAAGGTCACAATATGAGTTTAGTAACTTTGGTTCGGAAAACGATGAAATTACAAATAAGTTTGCTTCCTTCGCCTGCTTAACAAACAAGATTATATGGCAAATGGACATTCTGTACCTCTGAATACACGTACACGACAAAATTATAAATAAAAATTGTGGCTTGAGGCTTACGTAATATAAATAAATAATGAAGAATAGGAGTCATCCTGTGTAGTGCAGCACTCGATGTTACACCCGGACGTGCTTCTCTTTTGCCTGTGAATGATATAAATTTAAAGACGTATCTACAAACTATCGTAAGCTATATCAATAAATAGAGTAAAGTGTAAATAAGCTATTGTCATATTTATAAATTACATAACTTACAATAAATAATAAATTCACAATGGTTGTGTAGTTACGTGACAGCACGCATGCTGCTCCATTCCGATAAGTGGCGCACGTAAATAGACATTAGTGATTATCTTTTTTAATTATAGGGCATTGCACCACACGCCGCCGCGCCGCACCGCCGCCGGCTCGTGTGAGGAAACCTTTATGTGTGGCTTATTGCTATAGATAAGATACAAAACAATATGAACAAATCAAATAAGAAATTGACTTAAATCTTGCAGAGTAACGATTTAAGCATATTGTCTATGACACATATCTTCATTTATATTCTATAATTAGTTGTATTAATGTCTATGAATTCATCGTTAATATTTCATCTAAGTACTCCATTGATTACTTGATTGTCTTTGTTAATAAAATTCCAATAACGTAGCTTTGATTGCCATTATTAAGCGATAAATAATACAGAGGAGTGCGTCCACATTTACCACAAAGACAACATCGGGAATTAAAAGAAGTAAATAAACAAAATAACATTATATTTGATTAAAATTGGATTGATAAATCGATTTGTGTATATCCGACTCCTGCGCAAATCCGTTCGTTGACCTCTCTGACGGACAGAACTTGCGTATACTGAACATTAAGAATGAACATAAAAGCTTTTTGTTTGGAACTTTGTCAAATATTCGATTACTTTTTTTACTAACAATGCTAATTGTACTTCGTAATTGAAAAAAACATTGGTTTTAATAACAAGATTTGTAAATTATCCTTTAGACGGTTAATGTAGTTGTAGGAGGCGTTGTTGTTGTTGCGGGAGAATACAATATTTCACACTTTTATATTCACTAAGCAAGATATCTTAGGTTATATAAAACTGAAAATGTAAAGGGGGGGGGGGAAGAGTATTCATCATATTTTACCTTTATTTTTTCACAAATATAAGTTATGAAAAATTCAAAGTAAAAACGGCAATAACTGCAATCCCTCATCTCGATGGTGAGTTTCGTTCACTCTATTGATCTGCAGCAAATCTCTAAAACCTGTTCAACATGTTTCGGGATTTGTCTTTCAGTGCTACACAAAATAAGTGCTCGTTTACATTAACTTGCCAGTGTTGCCAGATCACATTTTTATTATTTAAACCAATACAGCAAACTATTTAGTTTTATATACATCTGTTGTAAGAGTGGTTCTTTTTTTGAAAAGCGGATAACGGATGATAATTTAGTTACAGTTATCTAAAATAAAGATAACATTGTTTAAAGTCGAACAAAAAGCAACATATCTAAGATTATTTATAGAAATCAAGTCATGGCATATTTTTATATAAAAATTAGGAAAAAATTGTTGATATTTAAATGTTATTAGTCAAATATAAACGTGGCAACACTAACACTATCCTACAGACGATATGAAAAGGAACCTGTTTGTGGCCATCACTGGACACTGGCGACTGCTGGTCACCGGCGCTTCATCGCTTTGAAGCCGCGCCATTGTTGGCCATTGTGCCTGCTCGCCGTTTGTCACCGGCAAATATAATAATTGCAATATTACAGCTCCCAACCGGTCACAACCGGTGCAGACCGGTTAGCAGTATTGTACTAGGACATCCGTTCTTACTAAAACATCTATTTGTAACTACTACACAATATAGATAAGTATAACATTGTGTTTAACAAAAATGTAAAAACTTATTATAAGTTAAAAAATTCTATTGATGATTTAGTTAAAGCGTGCTAAAAATTTTATAGTTTTCTTTTATTAAACAAAAGGCGACTTTCTTTAAAAGAACTGATAAAAATGTATTGCGTAAGTAAATAAATTACATACTTTTCCCTTTCGCAAACACACACAAAGATAAATACGTAATGAAGTTAACACGGTCTTCTCGTAGCGGACATTTTCTATATAAATTTTCTCGTAATAAACATTTGGTGTTTGTTAAAGCTTCCTATTGTTAGACGCGTCGCGCCCTTTTTTTGAGAGCTTTAACCAAACAAGTTTATATATGAGACAAAAGGAAGTTAGCACGTGTACGCTACCCTTATTACTAATTAGAGATTTTAACTTCAGTTAAACTGAATGTTAACTTTCACAATGAACGAAGTATAATGATTGTTAACTTTTTAAATAATCACGAAAAAAAAAAATTATTTTGAGTTTACCCAGTTGAAATATCCTCCAGCCTAGAAATTTTGCAATAGACTTTTGGAATTAATTTTAAACAGGGTTTATGAAGGTTCAAAAATAAAAGCATCATTTTCTTTAATAGTCATATTTAATTTAATATTTACATATTTTAATTGATAACTTAAATGTAACTTAACTAAGCTTAATTTCTAATAGAATATGTTTTGAGATCAACTGACTTACATATCTAAAGTCTATACATAGTCATTGTATATTTTATCACAATTACTTTGGTTTTAAAAATGTAACAAGTGAATAATGTAAATTGTATGTATTACGAGTACATATGTACTTATGTATATTTAACGTAAAATTAATTACATTGAAAGATAATATCTATTGTAAATGCATTGGTTTATTAGAACTATATTTGCAAAATGTTTTATATTCTTAATCACCTCTAAGTTGAACTTTCGGAAAAACTTTACCAATTTTTCTTCATTTATTTTTTCAAAAATTAAGAGATGGTATTACTTTGTTGTGGTTTGTCTAAAAGTTTTAACGAGTTTCCCAGATTAAAATTTTTCCGTGCGTCATTACATAAACTTTGTAGCTTTTAACAGTTCCTGTGGGATTACTTGAGGTCCATCCAACGGTCACTTTAAGAAAATGATTCTTTAGTATACCAAATATTTATTAATATTTGTTTGCATTAACTCTGAAACTATTCAACCGATTTGAATAATTATTTTATTGTTTGAAAGTTACACTATCCCTGGGTGACGATATTTATAATATTATTATATAAAATATGGTATTGTGCAAAATCAGTCAACCGCAAAGTACTAGAATCTATAAAAAGCGATATGTGTTTCATAATCGCATAAGTTAGGAATTACGCGTTTTTTATGTCAGTCATTTTAAGATAATTGTTGGTTTTTCAATATTAAATTGCTTATTGTCAGTCTAGTGTACTGTAAAATAAGTAAAGTCATTGCAAGTTGGTAGTGTAAATGACCTTTACATATGATCGGCAATTGTTTATCACATAAGTGCTAAGAAGGATTACAGCGTAGTATGCTGCCGACAAGCCTCTTGATATTTGGCTTTTTGACTAATGTTCTATTATGTGAATATAAATTACATTTTGTAAGTTATTTAAAATGTGTCAATAATTATTATGTTATTTGATTGTACAAATAAGTAATGCGTTACTAAATGGCAGATAAATTTGTGCATTAACTAATTGTTAAAGGACGGAACTGAACGTTGTGAACTTTAATGCGGTCTCTAAAGATTTATATGACCTTTGTGCAAATTAAAAAGTATTAGATTCAAGATTCAATATACATATGGAATGCTTAGATTGATAAATAACTGTTATATTTTGTACCAATACTCAAAAAACTGATTCACAAAGTAAGTTGTATGCAACGTTATACAAATTTATGTTGTAATAACTAGCCATTATGAAAGAAAAATGACCATGTTCACTGCAACATTGAGTTACGAATATCCATATATTCGTGGTCAGTAAATTAACTTAAATTTGAGACTCGTGTATTCAATTCACACACACACTTTCAACACGTTCATTCTTTACGATATTCATTCGAACTAATGTACTGCTTAGTAGGAACGCTCTCTTCTATCAAATTCAAAATCGTATACCACATACAGAAAACATTCTAGCGTTTGTCTCTATGTGTTCACAATGTGCTGACCAGTTCAATGCTCTCGTTGATCTCGTTCTGTTTGCTCTCGTCCTCGGCGTCAGGGTCATAGTCCAGGGTGGTGTATTCAGTATGTATGCTGCTGCTGTCTTCGCTGTCGTTCACATTGAAGTATGTGACGGTGGCGTAGCAGACCGGTCGTGTGTGCGCGGGGCTACTCCGCGTCGACTCGTACGCTGAGTCCGACCTGCCGCTGTCATTGGAATAGCTCTGCAGGCTATTGTTGTGCGAGCTGTAACTATTATAGCTGTTGTAGTAGGACGTGTTCTCGTAGGACTCGTTGTTGAGATGCAGGGGCGGCATAGAGGCGCGGCACGGACAGAAGTTTCGCACGTCTATCTCTGCGCGCGCGTCCACCGTGCCGCTCAGCGAGGGTGACCGCACCAAACCGGGGGACACGCGGTTGCGCGCCGATTTGCGGCTCTTGTTGCCTTTGAACAGTTTGAAGGCCTGCAAACAAATAAGCATATGTTAATTACAGAATTTATAGGACGAACTAAAATTTAAGAAAGACACATCACGTTAGTTGCAGATCGCCTGACCTAATGTCGCATGGTACATAAGTGTAAATGAATAATAAATAGAGATATCAAAGTATTAGATACCCGACCTACTGACCTGTCACTAGGTCGCAGGTCGTCGCATTGTAGAGTCAGGCACACGCACTGTCACCACATTATTATCTAATAATTATAATGAAGGCAGGTGATAGTAAATGTGGTCCATGCTATTTGTGGGTCAACTGCCAATAAATCTGGGTTCATTCAATCGTGACCTCTCTGAACTGTATCAATTAAATGATTAGCCAAAGTCCAGCCTTATTCACATCTACTGTATGTACTAGAAACAATTGACCATTTCCTTAGGTTTACATAATTAGGAATATTATTTATTATCACAATAACTTAGATAAATAAATATAAATGTATTATAAGCTGGCCGTTATCTAAGTAAATAACAAATTTCGAGTTTAGTTCGCTGACCTTGTAGTATTGATTAGTAACAATAAGTTGGTAATTGGGAGCTAAAATGCCTCAAACATGAGGGTCACGGTCGTCACTTTGAGGACTTTTTAGCGCTGCTGTAATATTGATCTTTGTAATTTCACTGTGATTATATCGTGAGAATATCTCCATCCATACATTTAGTAAATCGTCCCAGAATTAATTGGAATATCGTAGTACAACATTCCGACGGTAACATAAGGGTAGATATAAATGTTTATGAGTCAACTTAGATTCGAATTAGTATTGGTAGATGGTATATCGACTATCTCAGTTCTTCGTACTGAGACAGTAATTTACGAAACATATTAATTACATCTGGAATATTCCATTACAATATTCGCTGCGGGTGTAATTCAAACGCAACGCGTCTAACATACGAGCTAACTGTCAGCCAGCGATTGTGTAAACACAATAACAATTAACAGTTAACTGCGGAAGATAACCTCGATTGTTTTACATTACTAACGAACTGTCTACAACTACAATAGTTAACGGAGTTAAACGTTCACTTCTCGCACTTGTCTCGAACAAAACTCAATAACAATACAACCCTCGTGGGTAAAGTTAATTAGAGAAATATAAACGTAACTTATCGCAAGTTAGTGTCAGACATCGCTAATAAATACCATAAATTATATAATCATATTATAATGTAAGTTGCGACACATCGAAAGCATGGTGTGAAACAAAGGGTAGCTTGATTAAAGTGAACCGCGTCGGTTGAGCCCGTGGGAATGCGGGGGTATCCACGCACCGCCACCGTCACCTGTCGCATATTATTTGCCTAACAATTATATGTATGACCGCTTAAAACATATCATTAGCTCTTGATTAAGTGCGTGTTAAGGAATGATGTTATTTTCTGGAGCCAAGCTAAAAAAAATTAAAATGATTTATGTATACCACAAAAAGTTATACAGAATACAAATAGGGTATTTTATTACGAGCGTGGTAACATTAAAAAGGGTGTGCGTGAAGCGTGACCGCGCGTCTAACTGCCTCCGACATACCTGTGCTATTATCACGAGCCGTAGCGAAATTCAAGCTTTTCGTAGACTTCGTAGAAGGTCGTAGTACTTTAAGTAATAAAGTCACGCAAGAAAAAACGCAACTGTATTCGTATTCATTACAAAGTAATTAAAATTGTTAAGATATTTGCAACATATTGTGAAACATTATGTTGCAGCCGAGAAGGAAATTCCAAATAATTAATTGGAGAATTTCTTTGGAATTGGTGAGGTATAAAATGGGGTGGAGCATCACATCGGGATTAACCAAATATGAGGTAGTTATTACTATAATGTTTAAACAAAGAAAAAATAAACTTTCGTGACCGTATTTCCATAATAGCGTGGCAAGTTAACGCCAATTCTTAACTATTTATATTCCAACATCAAACATTTGGTCCAACATTGGGTCTAACAGGTCAAAGGTCAGGTTAAACGTGAATAAATTAACATATACACGTCTTGAATAACGTCGGTTTGACGCTGAAATATTAATGCGTGACGTCAAAGTTCGCTGCTACGTGACCATCCAGACCATCGAATAATAATGTACTTGTGGTGAAATTTTTAATTAAGAAAAAATAATTCTGTAGTTTTACTATAGTAAAATGGTAGAGTCTAATATTTTATTGTTTTTGATTGATAAGGCCATTGTTTGATGCGTTAAAATATCTATTATGAGTTTGATAAGAGAGTTGAATGTCATTTTATACGTTGTTAATTAGTGCGTGTTGCCACGCAACTCTTTCTCGTAGCTATGGAATCGTGTGACCACGGGGCGAGACAAATTAAAACATATTTTTTTGCAATGGTAACACAAATACAAATATTGTGGGAGCGCAATATCGTGGGAAATTATGTGATATGCGAAGTAATCGGATAGAAACGCCGATAGGGGTGTGCGGGGGTCCGCGAGCGTTCGCCCCAAACTGATTGAATTAGCAAACAGGGTGGGGCAGACACCGACTAACATTTCGTGTGATTACTGTCGTCATAGATTGAGGGTTACGGCTATTGTTTTTTTGTATCTTTATTCGCGATAATTTCCCAAAATAGGGTTTTACAGTGAAGTAATTTCTTTGCTTGATCAAACTCAAACGAACATGACGTCGGTGTAATCGTAGTGAAAAACCATATTGATTTAAAAACACCGATATAAAACTTTTCCATAAAGAATTTAGAGGCACGTGCTCCGTGTACAAATTACCCGGGGCACTGCCTTAACGACATGAAATAAAATAGACAAAACTTTTCCGAAGCTTTAACAAAAGGGCAATTTAGTGGCATGACCCGAAGGCATCGTTTCAACTTCCTAAAGCTAATAAAGAATAATTTTTTATAGACCTTAAGAGGTAAACGTCGTATTACGCAGATGTTTTAGTATTTTTATATTAAATTGTTACATATTTTAGGTGAACCCACAACTATAAAGTATGGTCCAGAAATAAAATTAACAATGAAGTAATTACTACTATTAAATAGGAAAGTAAATCGTTATATTTATTTGCGTAATTTTTATCTGAGTATAATGATCCCGGTAGTTATTTTTCTTTCATTTAATCTATCATTGGCGACACTACTTTGTCAACAATACAATATTAATTATAAGTTATCATCATTCTCTACATTAATAATGATATCATATATTAAAATAAAAAGATAATACCTATATAAAGGCTATAAATTTCACACATCAGACATGTATTTACATGCGTATTTGTGTTGCAAACAAAACAGTATCGTTTCCCGCCTTTTCACGCGCACCGCTATCATCGTCCGCCATTACTCATTGTAATGGCCGCTCCCGGCCAGGCAAAGGTCCACTGTCATAAAGCCACTTAACAAAAAATATGCCAGGAACTTTTGTAAACATTAATAATCTTAATATGGAAAAATTTAAAGAATTATTCCAAAAGGAAAATTAATATGCTTTGATAAATAGCACAATTTTTTTGATCCAATTAGAAAGAAGCAATTAATACAAATAGTTTTGGAAGATGCAACAAATTAATAACTACCTTTAGTACATTTAAATGCTTAGTTATTAAAGCTTTAAGAAGGGGTTCTTTCGACTTAATAATGTTAATTCTTGCTTTATGTTTGATTAATTATAAAGGTCATACATTTCTGATGGTATTTATTAAAATCTGCACCGCACGTGTGTAGATGTCCTAACAAGACAATGAAGCACGCAGTAATTCTCTTGTGCAAACAGAGATAGTGGCGTGGCGGGAGAAATGTTGAGCGGTGAGTGGTGAGGTTGAGCGATAACAGGGTAAACAAGTCGGACCGCTCGGCTGCGGGAAGCGCACAATCGTTTTAATTATAGAATGTAATTAATAGCAATAATCTTTCATTAATAAATTATTAAAAGTGTCAATCCAGCTGCTTGATAACTAACTACAAATATACTTATGAATTGACCACTTCTAGTTCGTTTTTTAAATTATGGAATTATTTTCAAACTTTTCATAAGTGAGGTAATACGTTTATTCGTATTTTTAAAACAAAAATATTCAATTAACAAGATAATTTTTTTTAGATCCTATTTCTTTAGAATTCAAATAAAAAGTATGTTTTATTTATTACATAAAACATAAATATAATTCAAAATTCTTAACCTATTTCACACAACTGATTACGTCACATCACCATCGACTACAGAGAAAAATCTCTCGTTCCCTGCCAATTTATCATCGAAATACTCAAGTGCGCCAAAACGGAACGTCAAGGCGCGGCCATTTTATGGCTAACCCAACCAATGCATATCTCTTGCGTATCGACAGTTTTACAGCGTCAATATATGAATGCGTGCGAGCCACGAACCCGACGTAACTCAAATACTGCCCCTAAACAACTGACGCAGGAACTTCAGGACTCCGTCAGCACTCAGAAATACAATGGTCGTCGGTACTTAAAATTTCAACAAGTATTGTGTAGTGTGTGTGTGTATGTGTGTGTGTGTGTCAACAATTTTCAGTGTGAAGCTAAATGAAAAGAAAATAGTATAGCCAAAAAACGTAAATTTACAGTTCATTAAAACACTCGTTACTATTTCAAACAACGCACCTCCACCTCTTTCGCCCCGTTACTAAGTACTTCTCAGCGAGTGAATTGTGATGTTCGCGCAAAGTCCAGTCGAATGTAGAGTAAATATCTTCGGATATTTATGTATTACTCACGCTATTGATATGCACGTGTTATTCGCAAATATGTCTATATCCGCCAAAGGATAACATAGCGATATTTAGATCTTGGCGCGAATGTAAATTTAGAAAAATTTACACAACAAATATGTATTGAACGTAATAAACACACAAATCCAATATACTATTATAAATATAAAATGTTTGATTAGACAAATGAGTCGTCAAGGATAACGTATGATATTGAGCAAATTCCGCGGTGTGGTAATTGCGTAAGGCACCGCGCGTCACTGCCGCGTTATATACTCCTTTGTGGAGATACAAACAGTGTATCGCGCTGTCTGTCTGTCTGTTTCCCGCACCGCTATCTTGTGCAAACGTACGCATACAAAAGCAACAAATATTTCAACATGCCTATTATATTCTACTAAGGTAAAAGAAGAAATTAGCAAGCTAACAAAACACAGATAGGCGTCAGGAGCGAGACACGCCGCAGCGGCATGCTTTACACCAAAAATAAAAATTCACAATTTTATAGAAATATGATTTTGATTCGGTTGTGTTCGAATGTGTAACCAAACATTATAACAACCGGGACACATTTCCGGTGTTTCGATAAACTTTGTACGCGCAAAAATATTGACATTGAAAATTGTACAAATTATAATATTTAAAATTAGTACATTAGGCGATAAAGCGACAAATATAGACAATGTATGTAATAGCATCTCGATTTACCTTTATGTGACGTGCATTTTTGAATGCCTAGAAATACAAATTATATTTATTATATCAACTTTACTGATTTTGGCCACTTCATAAATTGCTCGACACAAAAATTCGCTAATCGTATTGTACAAGTATCTCTTAGTCTATTGTGTGAAAGTTGTCAATTGCGCAGTCAAAAAGCTCCTTTTATTGGCGACAAGTTCTTGAGTAAGTACACAATGGAACCCCGCCGAGCGATCTTCACCGCTTTGTCCATGACTTAGCATCGGTTACACAAGTCCTTCAAGTTTATTATCAATAAAAAAGTTATTAATACCCTTAAAAATTAGCCTCTTTTTACGAACTGTAGTATTAAAGCGATTATCAGAATTAATTGCCCTCATAAGCCTGTAAGTACAAGATTAGTTTAACTGTTTTAAACAAACTTTTTTATTTTTTTACTATAGGTTAAATAAACATAAATAAATTTATTGCTTTTCCCTATGGGCACGGAACTAGTGTGATGGATGACCAAGCCCTCGCCCCCGCAGTCCACAAAATATTCAAATGAAAACAAACATCAAAATAAACATATTACTATGAAATACAAAATAAATATGATTTACAGTAATAATATTGAAATTTACAGTTTGCTAAAGTTGTCCAAATAAATATTTAATATAAATGATTGTAAACCTTGTATATTATTATTAGTAATATTTTATCTAGTAAATACTTAAACGTATAGTCAAATGACGTTCGAACACAAATATTTTGACCTGCTCGGATTTTCCTCGGGCGTGGGCACTGAGCGACACAGCAGAGACCTGGTGTACGTCAACTGATGACTGTTAAAAAATTCAATCTCTCTCACATCCACATCCACATATGCGGTCGTCTCGAGGCCCGACTTTGGTAAACACATCACTAAACCTAAACACCGATATTTTCGTAAGTGTTGATAGAGATTTGGCTTTTGGTAGTCGCTATACGAAACTTTTGAAGTTGAATTACGCTAAATTTTTCATGTTACGACAGATGAAAGTTATAATTTTACTGTTTCACTTCAGACTATAAAGTTAAATTCTCTTAACGTCTGTTCTAGGATATGTGCTATATTTATTTTACGTTTAGATGTTTCCTATATATTGATAGAGATGCCGTGCTTTCATTTGAGATTGTACAATATGAATTATATTTGTTATTTCTTAACCATATTTGTGTAATCTTATCACACTTCTTTATCATGAAATATTGGTTTTATAAATCCAGAGCGAGGCGGCCTATTTTTAGGTAAATGCAAATTTTCGCACAGAGCGTAAGAGATAAGATGTTTCGTCCTTCCTTCACGTTAGAGTGAATTATTGCGGTATTACATGTAAAAATATTTTGATAAATCAAGGTAAGGAGAACGCGGTCTGACGAGGTCAGGTAGAATGCAAACTGCCTATAGCTCAGCGGTTAAGCTGACGGGAGGATACTCGTAATGAAATGTTCCATATTTTATTCGTGTATATTTTTGAATTAATGTTATACGTCAACAGAAATAAAATATTATAATCTCGTAATTAAATATATAAATATTGATGAAAATATAATGGACCCAAACTACGATTACACGAACAATGTTTGATGTAATTCACAATACACATAAAAGACTCCGTCGTTTTATCAGTTGCAAGTAAAACATAAATTAATATTATTCTAAACATACATAATAGAAAGTATTTAAGATTAATTTAAGCAACTTAAAAGAAATAATTCAATATTTCAAAATAAACTGGACTATCATCTTAGTTCTACGGTAAGAAGCAATCCACCTGAATGTTTTAAACAATTGCTTTAAAACGCAAAGCCGTTAATTCATGTAACACTAAGTGGATCAGTTTATATGTTCGGGCGATTCCCGATTCTATTCTAGTTCGTATACAAAGTTAAAAATATATATTTAACTAGGCTATCGGCGATATACAACCGAACTCGGGAGCTTTCTTTTTTTAGTATAGTCTGTGTACATCAAGGCAATAATGTTTCGTATACTCTGCAGTTGGAACGTAAATGTGTATACGAGTTTTTACGAAAGTTTGTAAACTCTGGAGTAAATTGCTGTTCAAACTCTATATAATAAAAAATGTTTAGTTTTCTAAATTTTAAGGAAGAAAAAAACATATTGGCATACCCGAGACAAACAATGTTTACGCGTCCATATCGAGAAAAGTGTTCATAAAACATGTTGGAAATATTTACGCGTAGTAATATATACGTGACATTGTAAGAATCGATTATATCAGTGCGTAGTTGATATCACTGTATCAACATACAAATATTTCGAGTGTCCAAACACAATTTAACTTATTGCTGGAACTTTAGGTTATAATTGTCCGTTAACGATGTTTACTTTCGCGCCATAAACAGCGTTAACTAATCATACTTTTATTATCTGTGACTTGGTGTTAACGAGTTCTTAATTTGAAAATGACAGTGACGTTGCATTTGTTTTTTTTTAAATATAGTTGACATCATGTTTTGCCACCTCTTCGCTATTGTATAAGCGCCAATAAACTAATCAAGTACCATGAAAGCCTTCAGTTTTTTGGGATTACAAGAACTGTTAGTAAATTTCAAACCTTCATAATATCTATAATAGATAGATATCGTTCACTATCAGACTTAATAAAGTCCCAAATATGTCAAGGGTTGCGGCTATCGTTGTACTCATAAACATTATTACGTTAGACCTAAATATTTATTAGATAAGTTGTTTATATCAAGTGTTTTTATAAAGTAGGGCGTGGTACATTGTAAACAAACGTAATGTAATAAATCTTATGATGATATAGATAAGATTTTATTATTATTTACTACGCGACACGTAAACACGAATACATACATATATTGTGGCGGGAACGGAAGAACACGCCCCCTTTAATCTAAAATAATAAACCCTAGTTATTTTTAATAATCTTACTAATGTTATAAATGCGAATATATGGATGTATGTATGAATGTTTGTGAGAAGGTATCTGTAAGACGGCTCAACGGAACTTGACGAAATTTGAAATAGGCGTAGAACATATTCTGGAAGAACACATACATATTCTACTAATTATTTTTTTTTAATTCCGCGCTGACGAAGTTGCGGACGGACAGCGAATTGGGTAAATACGAGATGAAACCCAATGATGTAAAAGGATAAATGCTATTATACTGTGAGTGATAGAGGTAAATATGACTGTGTAATGTACGCAATCGTTCAGCTTATTGTAAGGAAAATGTTCTATCTCTCAATATTACAAATAAGTAAAAATATATAAAACATAATTTTGCAAATTAAATTTTCACTTTATAATTGTCCTTTTGTCATAACTTATTTTTAAAAAAATAAAGAAGTAGACGCATTTGTCAATTAAGAGCTTTTGTTTCTCTTAATAGAAAAGCGTAAGTACATACCTCTACAGAATTATTGTCTTAATTTGTTGGAAGCTTATTAGATTTCAATAAGATCCGAAATCATCATAAAGACGGTCTACGTAAATATGTTAACTGTTAATCACACTTATTGATATAAAAAAAAAAACTTTAAATCATACTTGGAAATACTCCGAAACTTTACAATAAATTAATATTTAAAGATATTTACCGTTAGTTAAATACAGCAAGTTTTTAATTTAATTAATCTACATATAGATTATTATTCATGTTCTAACCTTTAGCCATCGCCTTCTGGTCTCGGTGAGAAAGTCAGCGAGCACCATCACTGTCACACGACGAAACTTCGGAAACACGAATGTGGGAGATAACCTCAGAACACATACACACGTCTCGCGGGCCGGCGAGGGAGTGCGCGCCACAGAACCACGGAGGGCCACGCCGCCCCCGCCCGCGCCCCGCACCCCGCACCCGCACCGGCACCCGTACGCCAGGGGCGTCATCCCTCCAACTGATAAAGTGGACAAGAGCAAATGCTCTAAATAGAATCTAAGTTGCTAATTTATCTGATAATTAGTGCCTATTTTTTTAATAAAGGTTAACACTAGCACAATATAACTATCTATTGACATACTCTTTTAAAAAACATAACCGCAAAATTAAAAAAAATATATGTGACTTTTATCAAGCCGTTTCGTTTTATCAGTAAATCACATTTACGTAGACTTTGACTATAAAACGTGTGATGTCGTTAAAAGCGTCTTAAAACTTTTTATGTTACTTTGGAAAAGCATCCACGCTTCGGCCTAGATTTCTGTGGCTGCAAAGATAACACCTTTGCCAAGGTTAGCTGAAATGGAGGCTTAAATCTTTCACTATTAAACACATTAAATTTATCTTTATAGCATTTTCAAACCTTTGGCAGTAAATTGTTAATATTAATATATGACAAAACATTAATTTTATGGGTTTCTAAATATGTAGTCCCATATAGGTATATTCTGAATCGTCTTTGATCGGGAATTAAAATCAAAAAATATTTATAGTATTAAATGTTATAAGATCCAGCAACTACTAAATACCAAGCGTCTCGCACATCGACATTTGCTGATTGCAGGCGTTGCGTGTCTTTATTCCACAGAGGAGGGAACGCACAGAAAGAGGATTTCCCCTTCTTATCCGATCCCCTCCTCAGCCAAACTACCCTTACACCTTCCAACCTTTAGAAAAAAAAGATGGGATCGGGAAGTGGATCAAAATTAGGCCCCTGGCATGATCTCAGAACATCTGAAATAAGAGGAAATAAGCTATACATAACTCGTACTGCAAAGTAAATAGAAAATTTACATATATGTACCGAGGTCCAATGATAAAGAAATAAGATGTATACGTTATCAGTGTACAAGCAACATTAAATATTTAAAATCAAATGTTTGTTTCCGACACAATTAGCACATAGCACTGATAGTCGCACATTCCGCCTTACTTTGACTTTAATTCACACATCTATTTGAAGCATTGTTTTAACATTTCTAAAAACATATTAGTTATAACTCTCATTCACACATTAGTCTTATTTAGTTTCTATTATAAATAGAAACAAACCTTAAAGTTAAAAGGTCATTAAGTAACAATTTCAGCGTCTATGTCCCCACCGAGGAGTTCGGAGCCTCGGAGAAAAGATTATTCAAAATAAGAAGCACCAATAATCAATGGTGTAGTGTATGCATAAACGTAGTGTTGTTTGTCTCGAGCGTACACGCCATAAGTACATGCCGGAGAGAGGGGACGTCAGTCGATGTCAGACCTTTGAGCCGGCAACACGTGTCGGTACGTGAACGAGCCAAATATAGCACAACGAATGCTACAAATGGGTTAAAAGTTAGGGTATCCGCTCACTTGTTTGTGAGTTCGAGTCCTATCAATTAACTCGTTCGTTTACAAAATCCTAGCACAAATCTAGAGCTTAGTTGGTTTATTTTAAATATTACATAGTAATTTTCATAATATCTGCTATTATATTGAATATGTCAAAGAATTTAATGCACAACATTTTATTTCCTTGAGAATAGGACAGGCTTACATTAAAATTTTAATGCTCTACAAATAAATAAGAAGCATGTAGGGTAGAAACGAGACTAGACTTTGCAATATATATCCCGATCTATTGCGTCAGCGGGGTGCGGGGTGCGGGGTGCGGGTTGCGATGTGGGTCAGCAGGGTGAAGGCTGTATGTAGGGTAGTTAGATAACAGATTATGTAACTGACCATTGGCATTACTTCGATGACATGATATTTTTATGACATAATTTATTTTAGTTTATAGAATGGAATCATAACCGTGCCAATATACTAGACCTAATAAGGAAATTGGGGAATACTACGGGTAAACTCCGAAATTAATGAATAAATTTTATTAATAGTTTTACGGTTTACCATTGAGGTGTTTCTCCTACGTGTTATCATTTATTACCTCAACGTATTTTACAGGGGAAATCGCCTGCGCATCTGCGACAATGAACACGTAGTGTAACATGTACCTAATTTACTAAAGAAAATTATATACACGTTAAAAAATTAAATATAAATTTAACATACGTAATGAAAACGAGTTTCTCGTAATATTCTATACAAATAATCGGATATGTAGACTCTTTTTCCACCAGCGCGACTAGCGACGCGATGCTTAAAAACTGTTATGTGATTGTGTCTGTACCTGCCCGTGTCACTGCACGTGATCAGGTCAGGACCAGCGTGACACATTTGCCTGTATTAAAATTTATAATCAGCCTAACGCTATCGGCAGTCAAAAAGGAACCTAAACCACTACGTACATTCATATTTGTAATTAAAAGAAACCATAAAAATGTCACATGCTGTGTATAATTAGAACGCAATTTGCAAAGCTTAGAAACAGGTAAATAACTTTGAGTTTGTTAATTTTATTCTAAAATTACATTGCTTTGGTGTATACATTTTGTCATTTATATAAATTACCGTTTAAATTTAGTTAAAGAAATAAATTATGAAAAACATGTTATTGCCCTCAGTGACAAATCTAAATTAAACACCCACGTCTATCTTTCACTTCATGATTCTCATTTTATATTAATTTGTACTGACAACAACTTAGTTATTCGCAAAATAATAATAAATTCGCGAAGTGAAAGGTTAACAACAATTATTAAAATTAAATTTAGAAAGTATTTAAGTCGAATAATACTTACATCATTAAAATCACATCTTTGTTACGTATGAAATAGCATGTAATACAAGCTCCTATCAGCACTGTGTGGTCTCAGCCGATACGCCCTCATTGACATGTTGTCGCCTTAGCGCCGGCGACAGCCCTGTCGATAAGTCATAGTGCGTGCCCTAAACGGCACGTACACACCTGACATACAAGGCACATCACTCAGATTTAAAATTCCTAGTAACCAAATTCATAATGGATTCAAGAGTTATAATTTTATTATAATTTATATTTTCATAACATATCCGATACTACAAAAAATCAACTTCAAAAAACAAAATAATCAAAACCTAATGCCACTTATGTCAAAAACAATATCACTAGCATGATATAAAAAAGCCTGTATTTACTAAGGCAATATTTGATATGGCAAGTAGAACTGTCATTTCTCCCGCTATTCCATACGTGGGAACGTGAAACTCCCGCGCTACCCACGCGCCGGTCACGTGACCGCGAATTAATCACCATGTTCACTGCCCACCCCAGTTTGTGCTATCCAGATACGGAATTATGCACTTTACACGTATTGTTATTGAGATAATAGTAGCGTGTGACGTCCAGTAAGTTGATGGAGTAGATATGTCATCAAAGGTTGAATTATGCCATATACGTATTGGTGAAATGAGTTGAAAAATATACATAACACAAATGCACATATGAATATGTATATTATTATACATAGCGTAGTAAACAAATGCAAAATATCACGTTAAGTATGGTAAAAAACATTCCGATTTGGATGTACATAGATGCAATAATTAAAACGTATTAATTCAAATAGAGCTTTGACTTATTTTATGCAGTACATAGCATGATACTAAGTCTCGTAGTTACAGTTATGCATCACAACTGTGTGAAAACATCCCCTAACACAAATCAAGTACTTTCGTAAATGCAGGCTGGTTCTTTTTCGCTTTAATTTTAAGCCATAAAAGAAAAATATGTTTTCAAAATTTTAATCCTAAAAAGCTCTTAGTGTTCGAAATTCAAAACCATAAATGAATGAATATACACTCGTTTGTGTATGTGTGTGTTCGGCACACAAATGCAATGCCACGCGTCGCCATAGCCAGCCACGTGCTGCAATCCCTGCCACGCGCTGGCACGCGCTGGCACGCGCCGCCACGCGCCGTTCTAATATTTTTTTCTATAATGAGCAAAAATATTTAATTGCTTTTAGTGCATACTTTAATCTTCAATACTCGTTAAGTTCGAAATGCTTTACAAACATTTCAAAGATAATAATGCCAACAAAAGTAAACGTACAATGAAGGATTACTGTTGTACAGTAAGATAAAAGTTTTATGTTGACAATATTTACAAGTACTTGCGTAGAACAAGGAATATACAGACCTATGTGACTAATAAGTAACGGTTACGCTGTAGTTGTGCAAATTATAACTTTAATGTTCGATATAAAAGCTTTTAAATAACACAAATACTAACGAAAGTCTAATTTATTGTCTTTTAAATAATAAAAGAGTTTTCATCATAATATAATCGATTAAAACTGATTACAATTCACTAGTCGAAGGTAAGATTTAATAACAAAATGTAAATGAACTTAAAAAGTATGTCCATTTTAATTAACATCAAAGATTTAATTGTTACTCACTTGTTTTTTGCCAACAGACTAATATGTAAGGTCAATGACATTATGAAACATTAAGGTATTGTGGTAAAGGACAAAAGAAGGTGGACAAAGGTATATAACCTATGTAAAAGCTGCCACGCCATGTTCTTAATGGAAAATATTAATTTCTGTAGTTAAACAACGGGACCTGTCAAATGTATCAAATATTGAACTTTAATACGATTACTTTATTACTTATTTTGGCTATTTATTGACACAAGTTTACTATTTTAAAGAGATGTGGCATTTAACAGCAATAATAACAATATAATATTAAAAATATAGCTTAAAGTTAATTAATCTTAATTTTTTTAAATAATACGTTGAAATTTAGAAAATGATAATCAGTCTAAATAGATATTATTTAATATAAAATGTAACAAAATAACAGGTTCCACCGAGATTTGAACTCGGATCGCTGGATTCAGAGTCCAGAGTGCTAACCATTACACCATGGAACCGTTGAAGCTGATGGTTTAAAATCCTGTTCTATTCTAGATTTTTTCTTATTTCACTTAAAAATAACTTTTAAAAGCTACGTTTCCTGTATACATAATACTTTACGTATTATTACTACTAGCTTTGCTAATGAGTTTTAATTCTTTAGGAACGACATGAAAGGTGAAATGTCTTATCGTTCGTCACAAAACTACTTGTTTCAGTGACGTTCTTGAGTGATGACGTCATGTGACGCTGCGCGGGGAGCGGAGGGGGAATACAACCGCATACAGGCATTGATTAGTCGAGAGTGACGTCACGGGAATGTGCAACATTCGGAAACACGATCATTCTTATATCGAACCAAAAGTTAGAAGACTCTTTCGCGACGTGTAATAGCGTCGCTATAGTACTATACTTTCTTGTTAGTTTTTACTTGTAGGTTACTTGTTTTAATTCGTCAACTATAATCTAAAGTAAATCAGAATGAATGTGTTTGAGAGTTAATTCTAAAGAAATTATACTTATCTATCACTAAGTGCGAATCCCAAAGCAATTACTCAAACAATAGTCAATTTCAATATCTAATAATTTTACCGACATATTTCATAATTAAATTTATATATAAGAAAAATGATGTATGAGTGATAATTGATGAATCGATTTTGAATCGAACCCTCTCGTTTATTTAAACAGTGGAGTTCTGTTAGAGATGCGGCGGAGGCGGAGGTAATCGAGTTATGTTTAAAATCGATTCATCATAGCATGCGACAATCGGCAGAACGCTTAATTTTAAGCTTGTTTGTCAGAAAAACATGACAAGTAGTAACACTGTTTTTAAAAATCGAATATTATGTGTAAGTACTCTGGCGGCTAAAATTTGCATTAAACTAATAAAAAATCTATTGCGTTATAGAGTTACGTTTTTTTTTCGTTTTTTTTTTAAATATTAAAACTTGTTAAATATGCAGTGAATGTATAGCATTAAGTACGTATTGATCATTGTTATAACATTGCTGGTGTAATAAAGGACAAATAATGTAAAAGAGTCCATCACCAGACAAATAGTACTGTTATTGGGTAAAGAGCAGATGAAGCACATGACTAGGTAATGTGTGGAAATGTTCGCCCCATTGCCGCCGCTGAGTTATTGCTGCAAACATTGTGAGACCGTTGTTATTATTTCTCTTATTATTTATATTGATCATATCTGCATAAAGTATCATTTTGACTTGGCATACATCAGCTTATCAGTCTTGATACTTTCTGCTAAATATTTTAGTAAGGTAAGTTGGGTAAATCTTTGATGGTTACAGCTGCTTTTATATGCATTTTATATCTTTCATTTGCTTTTATATCTTAAGCACATTTTTGTTTTGAAGCCATAAAAATTAAAAAAAAAATTATTCGTGTACTTTCCTCTTTTTCATTTATTATTACGTATTATATTTAATAACGGTTTTTTTCGTTATATTTTGTGCACTATTACATTTACAAAAGTAAGGTATAAGAAAACTTCGAAGTTGATTTCAATCTTGGTTTTAATAAAATGTTTCTATTAATAATACCAAAACGTTTTAATCCGTGTTCCTAAACGGATTGGCAAGAGTATTATTGTAACGAAATGGCATCACGTCCACCTACCCACTAGCCACAAGCCGCTAGCCACTGGTCAACACTGAACATACCGTTTTATTGCCGCACAATTAGAATGCTATGAATTGGGGCTGAGACTCCCTCACCCCATTGTCCTTTATACATTGCAAAATAAGGTCGAATTTCACGTAACATTATTAGGAGCAAGTAAATTAAGTGACCACGCAACTGACCGCTTCATTTCATCGAATTGACAAAGAAAACACGCACAAGTTGATTGTGATGCACTATATAGGAACTGTAATCAAATTAATATTTGAAATAACAGAACCATGTAGATATATGGGCTGTATAAGCTTCTCTGTATTTATTTTAATTTATTTTATCTTTTACTTCTCACTTTTTAATTAATTAATATTAAAATAAAAGCTCCAATCAAATTAACTCTATCTACTAACTGAAAAACTTACTATGCCTTGTAAATCTTTAGCTTGGACTTCGTTCGTCCGAAACAATCAAAGAAGAAAATTAGAGTAAGAAGTCCACTTGATCATAAACGTAATATTACACGAACTTCAAAAGTCCATTTCTTTAAGGATATCATTAAATAAAAAGCTTTTCTGGCGCAAATGTTAAGCCTATATGTAAATCAATTGTAGCCAATTATAAATTAATATTATAAAATGAATATCGCATTATCATAAAACTGTTATCGTAAACTATAACGCTTGTAACAAATAATAAATCCGTCAGCCGACAGTGGCCATCGACAATTCAACTAAATTTATAACTGGCAACATCTCGTAAATTTATAATCGAATTAATTGGGGCGAGTCGATTGAATCGAGTGGGTCGAGATGAATGCCGGCTAATGATCGCGCGTGCCTTGACAATTATTTCGCGGACCCTTTCCCTAGTTTCTAATTTAAATTTAGAAGGCAAGTCGCGCGCAATTCAGTAAGCACTTAGCTAACCTGTTGATTTATAGCTTTAAATACATCTTGAGGATTTGAAAGAATAGTAAACAATAAGATTTATTAAATAACCTCTCTTTTATTATACAACGGGTTTACGGAAACGTATATGTATCACTTTTCTACATGGTCTTTTTCCGATTTCCAAATGAAAATAGATTGTGTTCACGAATGTACGAGTGCATGTAAAATGTATCTTGTAACATTTCAGTTCTCATTCATTTGTTGATCTCCACTGCTAAGGACGGGGGCCAACTTTATCTACATATATGTATGTCTGTGGATAACTGAGTGTATCTTTCTACGTTATTATATTCATGTTATTAATTTATATTTTTTGTAAACGAACAAATATATAACAAATATCGCATAACTCGGAAAACAGCATTAACCCTCTACAGATAACCAGAAAAAGATCATTAACATCGAGGGGCCGGCTACTAAATTCGAACTAAAGAAGAATCATGCAAATTATTTAATTCTAATAATTGTGTATGTCGACAGGCGTGACTACTGCTTTCAAATAAATGTTTAATTGCTATATTTAAATGTTTGTGACTATGGCTGTGGATCTACGGCACTGTGACGATTGAGTGACAGCTGTGACGCATCGAATTGGCGCGAAATGTTCAATTTAAATGTTCAATTGTTTATTTTTTATTTCACTTGTCCTGATATAACAAATTATATTTTGCTAGAAATACTAGTATAAAAATATTAATGATTACTAAATTAAACACTTGTATGTGTGATAAATGTTTCAGTTTCACGCTAGCTAATTCAGTGTAATTACCAAGTATAGTAGTATTTCCTGATATTTTTTATGGGTGAGTTAAAAGTTAATTCTAGTCCTCCTCCTAATTTTTTGTAACAGTGCAAATATAGCAAGAGAAAAGGACTCGACGTAGGAGAGGCCAAAAAAGTAAAGGTAAATATCCTTGTTCAGTTTGTCGTCTCCTCTGTCCAATAAGCATTATATAACAATGTACTATTGCATATGTTTATGAGTAACGGTCCTTTAGTGCAGTGCAGGGCACTTGCTCGTTAGCCAACTTCTAGTATAAAAAGCACGTAGCATTAAACAATTCACAATCGAATAATCTTTCCACTAAATGACACGTACTGCCATCTGTTAGTAAAAAGGATAACTAGTGGAGCCTGCTGTAATTTGAACATTATTTATTTTTTATTAAAAAATTAATAATCACATTATTACTTTGATAGTGTTCGTAACTTTTACAAATCTAATCTTTATCGGTTTTTCTTAACAAAATATTCAGATTCAGAATCAAGCAAAACAAAACGTTTAATTAATCGCGCCATAGATGGCGCTGAGATATATTTTTGATTTTAAATGCGAAAACTGTGAAATTGATAATAATTAATTCAATATTATTAAATTAGGTAAACCTTTTCCTTCCTCTTTGTTATAATTTGAATGGTGCATTAAATTGATTATTAAAAAACATCAACGTAACATCAGTGCTTGATAATTATTTAATTTTCCTAATACAGCAACACTAGCGATCAATTGTCAAAGCGGCAAGCTGCTGTAAAAATAAAAATATTAATCTATAAAGTACCAGTTTGGAGTTATTGTCACAGTATTTTCATCATAGATATTGATTTATTTATTTTACAACAACTAATGGACTTTTAAATGTGTAGAGTTTAATTAGCATTAGATATTTGTGATATATACAAAGAGAACGTGTTGTTAGTAGATATTCATACATTCCTGTAGATTACAATGCCTTCGCCCCGGGACCAGGATGAGGACGTGAATCTATCGATTTATGTTCGTGTTGTATCGTCTATTTTTATTGTAAGTATCTGAAATAATTAAAAATAAGTAATGTTTCTATTACCTTTATAGTATTGGAGTATAACAATTAAATTAGTTTATTTGATTTATTTCTATGCTCATATATGTATATCGAAAGACGAATTTATTTTTGTGAATTAAATATATTTTCTTAATTTTATCAACTGAAAATCAGTTGTACGATTGATTTTAACTAAAATTTAAACATATTGAAGGCTATAAATACTTTTATTTAAAAAATAATCTTTCTTTTACTACAAAACACCTTAAATTGTCGAACCTTTATTTGATTGGTACTACCTCCAATTTTAATTGAAATGCTTAATTCTAACATGCTTTGTACAGGTGTCAGCTATAACTGCGTTTGCATTTACTGTGGCACGGCTGCTGAACCCGTATTTATTTTATGAGAAAGATTTAGAAGGAACAGATCTAAGTGAGTACATTTTTCAAATGAATATTATTCATGATCAAATATGATAATTTTATTCCAATGAAACAGGTTTTTCTCCCCTCAATTTGAAGTGCAGACCAACTGTTGGCAAATATACTCTCTGGTCAAAATGATGACAATACAAATACAGTTGTTTATGTTGTAGTTGTGCACTACCTGATATCGGGCATGATGGTTGTGGCGAGTGTGATTGGGGTGGTGAACAGTGCAGTTATGTTGAGCCGCAGTCAGCAGGCGCGAGGGGTAACTGTCTGGTTGCTGCTAGATTCGCTGTTCGAAGGTGCGCGCGTTGTTTACGCGTTCGTAAGCGCCGCTGTGCTGCACGGCACCGGTATGTTACTGCGCTACGAGCTTGCACTCACCCTCATCCAGTACTGTAAGTCTATAATCCACTATGCATTATTTTAGTACATGTTTGCCGTAGACATTGTCTGTCTGTCACTTGAAATGTTCTAAATGGATAAAAGTTTGTCTATAAATTGTATGTGCTGCTCTGTGTCGGTGAAACTTTTTGTAGTCAATACAAGAATATTGCCATTTCGTTAATTAAAGTTGGCTGTAGCGTTTCAAGAATCTGTTTAATAGCAGGACAACCACCCCATACAATTACATATAGTGAAGAGTTTGTTCAGGTATGTAATTTCCTTCCAGTGCTGGACAGCTATGTATATTGTCAGATGATACTGAGACACTGACAGTTCGAGAGGCAGCTGCAACGCCGGCGCCAGCGCAACATCAGAACTGTTTATTCAAAGAAACTTTTATAACAGTTAACTGATTACGCTATGCAACAAATGATCTATTGTACCAAAGGAGTGGCAACACGGTGGCATCATCAAATCTCTGGTCACAAAACCACTCTAGTATTATTATGTATTACAATGTATATATAAGATTAACTTGTAGATGCTGTCCCGAGGGCGGTACATTTCTTAGTGAGATTGATTTGTAATATAAATATGTTTATGTTTTTAAAACAATATTCCATATTAGCTGTGATTTTATCAAATTCTAAGTTAATTTGAAAGAAAGCTTTACCTACCACTATGAAAGGTTTGAGAGTTTAGGTAATTAATAGACTATGTTTTTTGCTTGATTTTTTATTGGCTGATCTGATTTTTTTAACTTAAATGTGATATTGGCCACTCTTTAAGGGTAAAAAGATACATTCCTAGTTCTATTTTTGTTTATTATTTTTATAATTCTCGAAACTATTTTAACGTAACTGTGTAATTCGTATCTATTTCGTTCGCCTTTGAGATATTGCTTGAACAATTTCTTTGTCTTAGAATTCCGGGATAAAACAAGACGCAGCTTGCCTTGTATAAGATATAGAAGAAATAGAAAACTCGCCTAAACCAAAATACTATAAAAAACATTCTTTGACAAAGAAATTGGATGTAAAAGCTGCCAAAGAATGAATGACTATTGTGTAATGTACGTGATCGTACTGTTTTAGTTCCTAGCTTGTGTAATGGAATATGATAATTGAACTCATTTTAAACGTATGTAGGTATTGAATAGAGAAAGTGTAATGTAACGCGAACGTTGTGTTACACATCAACGGATGTTATAAATTGAGAGTTTCCTGTCGTTATTTTGATTGGATATGAAGATACTTTTTAGCAAAGGTCAAATCGGGTCTGGGAATGGCTTTCGTCAACAACCGAATTAAGAAGGAATCCAATGATTCATGTTTTTGGGTCCGACTATAACATGTGTACCTGAGTATCATGGTGGTAACATGGTGAAACTCTTGCTATTCATTATAAATAAAAGATTATAATCCCATGCATGAGGCCCGTGATTTTTCAAATTTGTGTCAGGTAAATTTGAACGGGAAACTCTTAAAATATGATTATGAAAAGACTTTTTTTATATTTTGATTTTTATATTACGTTTAAGTTACTGTTTCTTTTTTTAATTTGATATAATTTTAAACATTCTATTGGCTATTATTATTCATTGATATTGTTTATAGTTATTATATCGTAAGTTAAAATAAATAGACTGTCACAGCATTTACTTTCCCGCCGCATATACAAGTTAGATATAATTTATATCGTAAACTATTCATAGTACCTATCAAATATATAGCCTCTGTAAATGTTTAAACAACAATTGTAAAGGATAATTGTTAAGATAATATGTAACTCATACATTTTTATATTTTATAGAAAGGGACAAACTGTTAGATCATATTTCCTGTCTATCTCTCTCTTACGTAAAAGCTGACGATTTCTGTAACTAATTATCATTTGGACATAAACTTTCTGTTTCCACTGCAAGATATTTGTAATAATACAAATGTCAACGCAGTAGTTTTAGGATACTTTTATAAATTCAGATTTTTGTTATGACATTTACTACTTGCCATCAGATGAATATTCTTTATGCAAGATTTATTTATAATATATTATTTAAAACATACAAAGTAAATTAATGTCAATTAAAACTTTAAAAGATTAACAAAATTATTATATTATTTTCGAAAAAAAGACATCTAAAGTATTTTTATCATAGATTATTTTAAATGTATTTATAAAATCGGTATATTTGTGTTCTATTATGTTTACCTACGCTAAGTATTTGTGCAAACATTCCGCACGCCATCTTATATTGTCAAACTAAACACAAACATGTAGACGAGTGTCGAGATGGCGCAGGCGACAAGGATAACGTTATCAATCCCTACGGCTGTGTACTCAGTAATTACTGACTTTACTTCACCCAATTAACGTCTTCCTATATATACGAGACCTGACTTCACCATCCGAACTTTATTTATTTACTTTTAACTTAGATTTACTTCATGAACCATATCGGATGGTTCATATCAACAAAATTGTACTAGTCAAATAAATTTAACGAAATTCTTCTAAGATCTTCTTCTATTGATGTTACTTTACCTGTTTTTGCTTATATTAAACATGTTTGGAAAAATGAAAGACGTTTTTCTTTATATTTATCCTCTTTAATCTGTGAGTCGTTCGTCCAAAAATATAACGCGTTCTCGGCGACCACGTCGACAGCGACAGGCTACAAGTGCACTTCCATCTCACTACAGACTTGCTGACCGACACACGACACATGTCCTGGTGACAAGTGACAAGACAAACACACGCGCGACCGGACATTACAAAAACTCGCTCAACAAACTGAATCATATACATAACAATCATAAACTAACTAAACAACAACTCAACTCATAGTTAGTCGGGTCTCGTCACTGACTCGTTTGGTCCTTCTGATTGAGTTGTTACAGATGTTTTATTCGACTAACTTTACAACACTTGAGTCGTTTTTAATTAGTTTACGATAATGACTTACGAAAGTTTAATTACTAAAGATTACAAAATAATTTTACAGTATTGTTAAAAATGATGGCTCGTGTGTTGGAGCTAAATACATGATTCAATGCCATCACAACGCGCAGACCAACACCTTATAAACAACTAAATAAAGTCAACAATTGTTTGTACACGAAACATTAAAAAGTTATTGACTTTATAAACAAAACATGTCGAGTTCTGCAAGACTCGGCCGCGTCGTCAATCAGCTGACTGCGCTCAAATCAGCCATATTTATACATACCTAGTTACAACGTTACCCTGTACATTCGTAGACAAAAGTTCATCCAATAATATATGTGTGTAGGCCGATTATTGCTTTATTCTGTACACTACAAAATGTTTGCGCGGGAAATAATGACAATTGATATGTCACGTGTTTTTTTTTAATCGTGTTTAAAATTTCAGGGCGCAAACATTTTACATCTTACAGACGTTGCCAAAAAATGTTTTAGTAAAATTATTTCGTATATTGTAAAAATATGTTTTTCCATTAAAAATTTCGTTCCAAATTATTTTTGTAATATTCGTACAATTTTATAAAATATGTCGCCTTTCCTTCGATCTGAGTTCACACCGCGAATGGCACAAAATCAACTATTTCAATCAAAAAATACGACAAAAACATCTAATTTTACTAAATCTATTGCTCGCATACGAAAATACTATCAATTGTTTATATTTAATGGCACTTCTATAATATTTGTTTTGTTTAAATCACGTCGAGATGAAGTTAGACGTGCTAATGCCTTCCACAAACTATTTTAATACATGTTTCAATTTATGATAGACATTTACTCGAGTTATCTATTAAGTTTTATCATAATAATAACATGTGATAAACCGACGTGAGCACTATGTTTGTCAAAAGCATTAGCACCGTCTACAGTTCCACGGGGATCTTATGGCAGTCGGAAAATATGTGGATGAGGGAGCGGCATGGTTTAGAATTCCATAAAAATATCACGCGTAATGTCATCACATATAACTAAATTTACTGATGTGTATAGATGTATCAATTTAAATAGTAAGTAGTTACTACAAGAACTAGAGGGCATAAGTTACAAATCAATTGCCTGGTCGCAACATATACGACTTCCTCGAGAAGTTAGGAAGTTTTTGCTCACTTGCAACCCTGAAAACTTTTAGTCGTAAATAACAAAAAAGTGCCACAAGATAGTCGTGGAACTGTTTAGTTGAGTGGCATTTAGTGTGATTCGTCGTACTGCCTGCACACTATCGCTATATTTGCATATTATCGTGAATTAACAGCACTATTTGAATGCATTCAGAGATCTCACAACCCACTACTAAGGTCATATAATTTACAAATGTCAATATAATCTAATATAGTTATATTACAATCTGTCTCACATACATACATCTGACATCCAAACACAAGGAACATAAACAAACAAACAAACAAACAATAGTCAACATACGAGGACATCAAATTCATATCAAATCAAATGCAATTAAACTAAAACTATCAACTATCTACAATAATATTGTCATGTATTTATTACAATATACTACAAGACGCATGTTCTGCATGTTCTGCACGTTCTGCCGCCATCTTAAGCAAAACAAAGCCATAAAAATGTTTTTTAAATCGATACAAAGTATAATTCACCGTCCGCTCGACGACGCCATTTTTGAGCACAAAATGTATACAATTGATTCAAAATTCATGTCATTAAATGCATTTCCCATCAATACACTAACAATACATACATTTGTAATAATAGAAAAAAAAACAAGAAAAGAAAAATATTTGACTTAATAACAAAAGTGTACTTGTTAAATTACTTCATCGTTTATTTACAATATTTACTTTTTCATATCCTTAATATATAATATTTGTAAGAAAACAAAGGATATACAAATATATATATTTAAGGAGAATGCACTTGATTGTATGTAAGTGTATGTCGAGTTGAGTTATGTATGGCAGGTAGATTGTATCAATCTGTGCAGCGTCAGGAGACAGGAGACAGGAGACATCTCGCGGAGGCGGCGGATATCACTTACATTACTTAACTACTAAAACATAGTCCCACAAAGTTATCTGGCTCGGTGCGAGTTAATTCTATCACAAACATTCAGTGTTCCTGTAGCCAAATAAATTTGTCGCACTATACGAGGAGTCCATCTCTCAAAAACGACAATTTGGCAAACTGTACAAGGAGGTGAATGGCCATCCATATACACTCTGAATACAACAGTATCTTTACTTGTTTAGGAACAAAGGTGGCCGGTTAAACGCTAAGAAAAACTATTTGGCACCTCTACATAAAGCACCTACTGATGTCACATTTTACAGCC